GCCATATTATATTAAAGACAATGGTGGGGATAGTTCTAAATTGTCACTACTTCTCAGATGATTGATTTTGGTTTCTTAACTTTGTTGATAATTGTTTTTGGAGTTATCTAACAACAGATATCAACATCACAATTTTAACCAATGTGAAAATTCATTGAGAATAATGACAACTTGAGTCTTCTATGGGTGCTTACAAACCATTCTATTGAGATAACACCTGATTCTTTTTTATCTTGCATTAATTTAACTTTTTTATGGCTTAACATTCCATTTAATAAAAAGTTGAGGGTATATAGAACTAACCCTTGAACCTCAAGGGTATTATTCATATCAAATAACCAAGATCCTTTCATTTTTTTCATCCAGGTATAAAGGCATCTATCTATTGAAGATTATCTTTTGTTTTTTCTTTTTACAAAAGTTTCTGCTAGATCTCTGATCTGACTATAAATGCTTGTAATCAGGCATACTTTTCTTTTCTAAAGGAATTGGTTTTTATTTTTGTTGACGACATGAATTGACTTGTTCATTATATATATCTATGTAATTTTTTTTTCCCTATTAAATGTTTGCTAGACTCCTAGTATGTTTTCTGATACTGGTTTTTATTTTTGTTGACGACATGAATTGACTTGTTTATTATATATATCTATGTGATTTTTTTTCCCTATTAAATGTTTACTAGACTCCTAGTATGCTTTTTGATACTGGTAAGGGCTTCTAGTAAATTATGAGTTTTTTTTTTTTTCTAAAGCAATGGATATTAATTTTTCTGATATAAATTCATTTTATTACTTCCATTGATTATACATTTCTCTTTACCACAGTGCATTCCAGAAGATGTTGAACAGGGAACTCCTTCCATTCTATCAAGTACACAGCATTATTATCTTCTACCTTGTTTTTTCTTGTATGACCGGTGTCATAAAGTTATGAATCTTGTGTTAAAGAAAATGGGATCAGCTGTATCTGAAAGTAGTTTGTTACCAATATCTGATAAATATACTCAACATACAAGAAACTGCTTGAATAGGGTGAATGCTGTTACTTCTGTACTTTTGGTGATGCACAAGGATGCTAAATTACAACAGATTATGTCTTTATTCAAGGAAGATATTGATAACGCCATACACCAAGTTCTTTCTTTACAGGTAGGTTCAACCTGATGACAAGAACAACTATTGATTTTTATTTTGAAGCTTGCTGTTTATAAATATTACTTATCTGTCCATTGGATAAAACAAAATTGTGAGTTTAATAAAGGTTTTCAGTATTTTGTGATTGTCTATACTCCAGTGTGTTGATAATTACATCCTCTGCAGTGGGGATAGTTACATTCTGTACCAAACACATGCTCATTTAGCATTAATCTATAACATGATATCTCACCTTTTTTTTGCTGCATAAAGTTCAAGTAGAGTGTTTATTGCATGCCATGCCACACCATATATTGACTAGCTCTCTGTAGCTTCTAGGAAGGTTTGAAATGAATTATATGAAAAGATATTCCTGTATTAACGACTTAGTGTAAAATTAGCCATTTTAAGACATTATTTGAAAATGTTTGGTTATGGATTTGAATCATGACTATGTCTCCTATTTTGCTTCTGCGGTACTTGGATAACGTGGTAGGATGTCTTAGGTGTATTTATTTTAATTGGAATCATGAAGTCTTTCAGGTGTTTATGTTCAAGTTACATCAGCCCTTCAGTAAAATTTTTGCAGGTTCAAATGAGTTAGGCCATTTGGTGTAATAACTTTAATTTGTAGGGTTTCTTAGTTTGATGAGCTTATAGATTTGGTTGGGTTGAAATCTGGTAATGGAACATTAATAGTTTTCAACGGATACTTCATATGCTGTGACTTTGAAATGTTTCAATGTATTTTCATTTTTCGTTTGCCTTATTGTTATCTATGGGATGAGACTGTTTTTGTTGATGTTATTGTTCTGTTAACATATTTAGTTCCCAAAAAATTATAATGGCCGTTCTTTGATTATTTTCTGTTTTTTTATGTAGTCATCTGGGCGGATGTGTATGACAATTGAAGAAAGGCATGAAATAACATGTGCTCTTGAACGATTGAAAATCTTAACGAGATAATAACTGTCAAGAAGAATGTTTTGGAGTGAGTGAGAAACTGCTACACTTATGTTTTTCATGCCTGGATCAGTGTTATTTCTCTAGCAATTTTTTCCTGTCACCATTCATAATCATGTTTTTTAACTTTCATTTTATTAAGTATTTCTGTTGGAGTTTTTTATATCGTTTTTTATTGTGTTTATACTATCACACATCTTCAGGAGTTTCATAATAATCAGTAGGGAAAAATGCAAATTTGTATCTTGAAGTTTGGGTTCTGTGATAGTTGCTGACCTTGAAAACGGTGCATTTTACTCTCTAATGTTCTCAAAATGTGCCAAATAACTCGTCCGCAAGTAATCCATTTTATTCTCGTCTTCCTTCTGTCTTTGTTTTGCCTTTTTCTTTTGATCATATCATGTTTATCTTTATTTGCATAACTTTGTTCTGCTTAATCTTGCTAATAATAATAAGTCTTTTTACTTAATTTGGTTGCATTCCGCTTGTCAAATGAATCATACTATTCGTGACTGCCATGGTCACCAAATAACTTGAATAAAAAAGTCGTGTTGCTTAATTTATCCATGCATATTTTCATTATGATCTGTGACTGTGATGAAAGTAGCAATTGAGTATGTCTGATATGCTTGAGTCCATGACAGTTTGCTGACAGTTAGCATAATAGGTACTTCTTTAATGTCAATTGACAGGCAGAAGGACATGGACTGAGCTATATGGTACGCAAAATGTTAAAAATCATACTCGATGAGTAACTTTAAAAGAGTTATTTATCACCCTCACTTATTTTCTTTTAATAAATGTCCAAGATGAGTTGTTCTTTAGCAGCACCAACGTATTAAAATCAAATAAAGGGTGAGGAAGAACACTCTTAAAATTACTTTTTTTGAGTAATTTGATCCCTTCTCATATATATATATATATATATATATATATATATATATATATATATATATATATATATATATATATATTTTGGCTATCATTTTTGGTTTTAGATTGCTTCTCAGTTGTAATCTTTTTCTCTAATTTGTAGTGATCTATTATTCAAAACTTGTGAAGGAGAATGCAACAAACTTTGATGGTGGGAGTTGGCATCAGTTTTATGAATTTCAGAGAGCAGACTTGGCATCATCTGCCAACCTTCTCCCAAGTTTAATTTGCAAGCAATTTTGAGGTCTGCTTGCAGCCACTTTGTTTCACGGTGGAGAAATATAAGTTTTTGCGTTTTGCTTCCAATTTTGTCAATAACAATGTTCTATTAGTTAGCCTCGTGGACACAGTAGATACTGTATAGTTTTCATGTTTTTATTTTTCTTCGTATACCACAGTATTGTTAAGTCTAAAAGACAACTGTTAAGTCTGGTATTTATTCAATAAAACTTTCCAAATAATAAATTTGTCAAAAAAATAGAGATTGGGATTTTAACTTTTTTAATAATAATTGTTGAAAGTCCCACATTGTTTATTTCATGTCATTTAGTATGGTTTAAATATATGTTAGACTACTTTACATATTGTCAATTGGTTTTATGTTGGAACATTAATATGGTATCAGAGTCAAAGTTTAACATCTTTCTAGTTATTGTCATGAGTCAAAAGTTGTCTTTTAGTTGAGTCAAAAACACTCTTTGCCTAGTCCGGCAGGCTTCGTTGGATGGGGGTGTGTTGAAAGTCTCACATCGCCTACCTCATGTCATTTGGTATGGTTTAAATACATGTTAGACTACTCCACATATTCCCAATTGATTTTATGTTGGAACCTTAACAATAATTAATATCTAGGATGTATAGTACAAAATAAATATTTATTTATATAACTAATTTTGTTATTAAAAAAATTTAAAATACATTATAATCAAAGTTTATAATATATATTTTCAACGTATAAATTATATTTTAGGTTTATCATAAATAACTTTTATCGTCATAAATTTTTGTTTTTAATTATAAAGTTATTTTTTAAAATATTTAAATTCAAGTTAGAACTGCATATATCGAAAGAAATAAGAATTAAATTGAACCATTCATTTTTTATTAAAAGAAAAAAAACTATAAATATATATATACAAAAAACATAAGTTTAAATTATAATAATAGATTTTAAAAACAATAATACTTCAAAGGAGATTAGATATTAAACAAAAAAAAACCTATTGAAAGTGATTTGAGTTAAAAAATAGACATGAATAGTTTCTTATTTATTTTAATCTTTTTATAAAAAAAAACTTGGAATAGTTGATAAGTAAATTTGAAAAATGGTTTTTCTAATACGCCTTTGTAAATAAATATTAAAATGAATTTTTCTATTAAATATTTATGATAATTAAAATAAATAGAAAATTTTAATATAGTTAACATTCACTTCTGCGATTCTATTTTTTAGATTCTTCACTTCCATTTTGCTGCACACAATTGGTTATGCGTAGTTATCATTCTAATTATTCATTCTTCGTTTATATGCTACTGTTTTTATTTTTTTAATTGAAAGGAATGTTTAAATTGGTCTTTTATCCTTGCCTTTGCGCACTGCATTTAATATTTTTAGTCTGAATGTGGGATTAGGCCGGGTTATTGGGCTTTAGGATTGTTGGGCTTGTGAAGAGATTTATAGCCTAATATAATTCATAGGTCACACCACACTCATTGAAAATGGGATGTAGAGGACAAAAGAAATCGATAAGGTGACAAAGATGTAGAAATCTTACGTTTCAACTCGCGATTTTGACTACCATGCTAACAATATCAATCCAAAATCCCATATAATATTAAAATTTATAGCATCAAAACTGACTTTAGAAAGAACCAGAATGGACAAGCATCCGACTGATTAAAAACATAATTTGAAATTGGATGTAGGAACAATACTCATTCTCAACGTTTGACAACTTCCTCCAGGTCTCAGTTTCTTCCATGTTTTCTGACATAGGAGTTGCGTGCCAACAATTTCTGGCTCGAAGTGAACCGATCACCCTGCAAAAAGCATATGTCAACCAGTACGAATCTTCCACATCCAACAAGACAATACAATCTAGCATGTTGCAGCGTTAAATTGCAAGCTTTACTACAGAATCAAATTATTTTCTTTATGATAAAATTGAGAGCTCTTTATAAGACGAATCTGCAATCTTGTGTTCGGGCATTTAGAAAATACAAATTCCAAACCACTAACATAAATACAGCAGTAGAAAAAGCTCCCAAATATGGCATCACTCGAATGTCATTGATTTTACAGTGAGCTGACACATCCAACATATATAAAATGACATCTTAATAAGTTGAATATTTCAATGGCAAACCCTTTTGCATCATATCTATTATCTAGTGAAATTTTGGAAATAAAGTATGATGAAATTCAAATCTATGAGAAAAGAGAAACTGCAATCTCAAATCAGAGGTCACATAAAAAATAATAATATAAATATACAATAAATAATAAATATAATGGTAAACTATAAATAATAAATAACTATATACATTAAGCACAGTCAAAGGTGGGTTATATATGACACTTTACAACGAGGTTGACATTTAGAAAAAGCCACATCACAACATGCCTATCGTGCGAGACTCTAACGGGCATTAAATCCCACCTTGGAGGTTTAGGCCAAAGAACTTGTATTGGCTCTACCTTATGACATGAGTTCTCGGAATTCTAGATTTCTCAGGAAGCTCACAACTCACAGATGAGGAGCAAATAATTCTTGGAATACATTTTGAAATTTGTTTTATTATCACATTACTTCCACTTCGCCAAAATAAAGAGAATTTCAACTTGCAAAAAAATTTCTTCCTCTTCATCCTAACATAGGGCACATCTCTCGGGTATGATTAGGTAAAATTCAAACCAAGAAATAGAGTAGAATAAAATTTATAACTTGCAGAACCATTATTTTATCATAAATCCAAGAACTGTTTTATTTTTGAAAATGGGAAACACTCGTTAAAATATCAACATCTAAATACACTTCTCTCGATGAAATCAAGTATAATAAGACATTGAAACAACCAGAACAAACCTTGCACATGGATGCCGCTGACTCTGATTCAAGAGTTTGCAAGGGAAGATGTCCAAGAGACTGGAAAGAATCCAGGGCATCCAAAGTCAGTTGCCAGCCACAAAGAGCCACACTAACCACACCAGAACTGGAGGAGGGATTATCACAACCAGCAGCAGCAACATCCCCATTAACCCAAGGACAATGATCATTATGTAATTTGATCGGATCAAATTCAACACCTCCATTGTTGTTGTCTCTGTAAGGAGTCCCTGATCATTAGAACCAAGTGAATTAGTTAATGAACAACAAAGAGCTGTCAGGATGGGGCAGGCAACGGTGTACAAGTTCAGAGAAAATATTTAGTAATCAGCAAAATATGAAACATTATTACGAAAGAACAATTCGATAAAAAGGAGTAGAAAATCTGGGGACAATTTATCAGCATAATTCAAATCAGCAAGTGATTGAAGATTTGTTTCCCGTGATTGTTTATATAAATTGTCTAACGTTATTTAAAAATTAATCAATAAGAGACTTGATAGTCACTGATTGATCTAACCATCATGAAACCTGCTAAACATTGATAAAGTTGAAAATATTTTTTGAATAAGAGACCCGTGTATATATCATAATAGAAGAAAACCAGTAATAGAAGTACCATGATTGTTAATATGTACCCTAATCAATGTCTACATGTATACTATGCTCACTAATAACAGTTTTGAAAGACATAGCTATATAAGAATTGGGTGTGCTTGGATTTGGACAAATAGAATGGGGGAGGAAGTAGGAAGTTTGCTCTAGCATGAGGGAGTCGGGGGAAAGAGATTCTAACAAACATCTAAATTGAGGGTAGGATACAGAAGCCAAATTAATAAAATTTAAATAATCTTACAACTGTATGTATATTCTAGATTTTCTTTCAATTCAGGGGGCTCAAATCTTTTCGTCCTAGTCACCTTTTGGTTGTTCAAGTGACAAGGATTAGTTCCTTTTCCGTAAAATCTCAGATTTGAATCCTATGAATAAAGAAAATAAAGTTTGGAGAACAATGCTCTCTGCAACAGGTAACTTATCCCAACTCAGATTATGTAGGCTCAATGCAACTTCCCAGTTCCAAGGGTTCCAACCAGAAAGAAAAAAAAAACGATGGAGGAAAAACATCCAAAATACTGACAATATTTTCAATCAAAGCATAAATATCTAAAGATAACTCCTCTTTTTGTCCTCTAAGTTTAAAAGAATTTGGCTGGAGGGAAAACAACTAGGGTGATAGATTTGATTCCCAAACAAAAAATGGACGCATGATCCCCTTTTCCTTGTAAAGTTACAATCGCCCCCCTTCCATTTTTGCCCCTCCCCCCAAACTCTTTCTATAAGTTATTGCTCCGAGTACAATAATCAGACAATTTTATATAAGGCATTCTGATATTATTTATTTGTTTGTAATTGACCTAAGGATACTTCAATCGACAAATAACTTTGAACAATCGAGTAAAAAATAATACATAATTTGAAGAGAAAGTGGTGAATATATTAATATTACAACAACATTATTCAAAATTGATAAGTAACAGATTTTACCAATCACATGGAGCATCAGAGGGAAAAACATCTATAAGGTTAAATAGGAAAAAGAAAGAACTAAATAAATAATCAGACATACCCATAAAATCAGCATTTAAATGGCCTGATTCATGATATGCACCATCATCAATGTGAGATGCCTTCCCAGTCTGAGTAACTTCTTCCTTGGATACTTCATAGGCAGAACATACAACAGCATTACAAGAAAGGGATTGATGGGCACCATTGTCAAGGCCTATCATCTGCATGCTACAACTGGTCTTCTCACCACTTTCAACAGATTCAACCTTGGTTGAAGCTATAACTTTTGAGCCACTATCAGCCCTTGCTGTAGATTGAGACACCACAGCTTGACTATCCCCTTGAGGATCTTCCCGACTCATTTCCTCAGGCACAAAATCCCCAGTAAGACCATGATAAGGCTCAAATTCACCAGCTGGACCCTGATTTTCAATAACTTCAGCAATTGGTTCAACGTCACCTAAACTATCACCTCTATGAACCGAGACATCAGTCCCATGGATTTCAGCCTCATGACTGGCACCCATGCCCACACTTCCTCCACTAATACCAAAACTAGGTCCATCTCTAGCATGTGCAGTTAGTATCTCTGTGTTCAAAACCTCCCCACAAGCATTTGAACTGCTAACACCTGCCTCCCCTCCTGCCCTTTCTGACAGTGGTTGGAAACAAGCACTCTGCTGCGCCTGATAACTGCTATTTAACTCTGATGTTTCATTCAAATCAACAGAAGGGAAATTAACATCATTAGCATTTACAGGAAAATTTTCAACACTTTCCATTGATTCATCATCTGAACTATGATAAACTGTATTCATTGCAATAATAGAAGATGCTTGAGCAGAATCTCTGGTAGATATGACACCAGCAGGATTATCCCTTTCTGGGTTTAACTGGTTACCGATGTTTGCATCCAATTCTATTTGAATACCCAATGAATGGCTAGGTACAGCATCAGAAGAATTTCTTAATGGAAACTGGAATGTACCCAATAGATTAGTATCACGAGCACGCTTTGAAGGGCCAGCTGAATATTGTTGGCTACCAATGACTTCATTATTATCACGGTCAGTTGCAGTTCTTTCAACACTGTCTGCCTGTTGCATGGTTAGATGTGGCCTGTCAGCAGTGGTTCCACCATCATCCAACTTGCGTTTGCGTGCATTGGGGCCTTGTGATTCATAAGAAGCTGCCTGATCACCAATGTCACTTCCAGAAGGCCGTCCGATCATTAAATATTTTCCTTCTCCAGCATCTTGCACATGTCCTGAGGTCGATGTCAAGTTTATTGGCGAAGAGGATGGCCCACTAGCCATTTTGAGACTTAAGTCTACACTTTTATTGGATACAAGTTGTCTTTTATCAGATGTTGTAGCCTCATCACGATCTCCAGTCCTCTCTTTTTCAACACCATCAGCAGCAGCCCATTCATTGATACCGCTAGCTGCACTTATTCCTCTAGTTGATGCTATTTTCTTGCTTGTTTGAGGGGTATCAATCCCACAGGGAGTCAAATGAACTGGACGTGGGGCTGTCAAGAAATCCCATACTCTAACTGTGGCCCCACACAAACTACAATCTAACAAAGGTGACCTAGACTCACAATTAAACTCTGAACCCAGTATATCATTGTCCCCAGTATCTTTCCTGGAAGAAGTTGAAAACTCCTTCTTGCTTGGAGCAGGATTTGGTGCAGAGCCTTTGGCTGGATCAGAGCTGCAACCATTTTTAGCAGATTCAGCCGACTGTTCTTCGCAGTCAAGCACATTAGGAAGCCACCGCGGCTCCCATCCACAAAGACTTATGAGCTTTTGAGCCTATTGAAGTGGAAACTTAATGTAAGGATGGATAAATAAACACAATGGACAAATTGGCATAAAATACACTTCAATAAATAGTTAAGAAAAAACAACATATCTAAAAAAACCTACATAAGAATATGGATGACGAGCTTGTTCTCCAGTTAAGCCCATTCCTGATGTATTTTCAGCTTTGCAGCCCAAATCTCCAGATGTCTGTATTTGTAATTGAGCAAGTACACGATCAATTTGAGGGCTATGTGTAACCTGCATAAGCTCAATTGCAGATGCAGATACGATTGGGAGGGAATAAAATTGCAAGAGTCCATCGCACCGATCCTTAAAACCTCCAATCAGAGCTGAAGGTGAAGTAGGAGGGAACTGCACCAAGCTTTCTGGACAGCTATTGCCTCTCCAAGGACAAGTGACTTTGTGTCCTCTATCAAGCTGTTCAGAAAACTCTTCACCGGAGCCATCAGCTTCATCAAATATACGAAAAACAATAAGCAAGGCCAGAAAGAAGCATTGAATCAAGTGGTATAAAAGGGCTTATGTGAAGTACCAGAAGATTAAAAAAGGGAAGAATGTGAATTTGTTTTAAAGAGACATTGAATAATAACTGCAATTGAAACTACAAAAGGTTCAAACTACAAATTACAGATACCGTCTATATCATAATCTAACACAAAAATGGTAAAATAACAATCTCTAATAAAATTTATCTAGTGGAAGTTCCAATGTCCAACAGACTTCCATGTAACCCCATAGAAGTCTTAGAATTTGGGCTTAGGGCCCCATTCAACCCCACAAAATCAAATTGAAAGCTTAGGATTGTGCAAGCTTTACAAGCTTTATTGAAACCACATATCCAGAGTCATGCGTTCTCTCATTCATTAAGTGAGGGGTACAAAATAAATCACAATGACCTTTCGCTCAAAAGAACCAAGCGAAATTTTTGAGCTTTCCACTTTCTCATACATATTGCATTAAATAAAGAACCTTTTATTATGTATTTCTATGAATCAGAATTTTTCCATTCAAATTTCTCTAGCTAAGTCCCAAGGAAAATTTAAAATTGATAAAATTAATGTGAGCTCTTCCATGCAGTTATGCAAATTCAGCATTTTGAGCTATAATGGCAAATTATTTCCCGGAACAGATAAGTTACACTAAAGCCATCAAGCATAAATAAAACTGAAATCACACCACCGTAGACACAAAACAAGCCTACATAAATTGCATCACATTTCCTACGAAAGTTACACAAAGACTTCGCCACCTCTGGCGAAACCCAGGAAAAACCCATACATCAATCTACATTATTAATATATATACACACTGAACAGAGCTTTGAATTGGAAATCTAGCAGAATAAACAATCCCCCATCATGAAAAAGCAAACCAAAAAATAAATCCATTACTATTATATATTTATTCACCTTCAAAAGATAAAGCTGAAGGCACGGCAAAATCTAACTGAGCACGACATATCTCACACTCAATCTTCGCAACACCCACATTCACCCAACCTCTCTTCGCACAAGCCAACGACCCAGCAACCTGCAAAATGACAAAAACAAACCTCAGTTCAATTACCCCCGCCTCCCACCCCAATTATCTCAACCTAATCGCTTCCATCCCAATTGAACCGTATCGAAGCCAACCTTGGGCAATTTCCCGGCGAGCTTGAAAGTCGAAAGGCGGTGGAGCAAATCGCCGCGCTCCCAGGGCCGGCATGACGGAACCGACGACCCTTGCAGCACCGAACCGCCGAGAACCGCGAGCGAATCCGCACTGGATTTGTGGCGCCGGCGAGCATCTCCATTGGCAGGAAACGCCGGCGACGAAGCCCCAGCAGAGCTGAGAGGAAGAAAAAGGAAAATATTATCGAAAATCGAAAGGGAAAGACAAAACCCTAGAAAACGGAGAGTGAGAAATCGAGTCACGGTGAGCAACAATTATGCAAATAAAAGGAAGAGGTAGAGTGAGAAACCCTAGAGAGAGACCTTGCAGCAGGTGTGGGAGGAGACGAGGGTGGTTTGGGAAGAGAGAGATTGGGATTGGCAGAGGTTACACCATCTTCGTTCATCTTTCAATTTGATGTCTTTCCTTTCACTCTCTCTCTCTCTCTCTCTCTCTCTCTCTCTCTTTCTCTCGTTTTGTGGTGTTTCTAACTCCACTTTGGGTTTGGAGTTCCGGGTCACGCTAATAACGTGAGAAGTAAATTCCTTCCACTCTCCACTTGTGGGTTGTTGTGGGGATTGAACCCATTCTCAATAACTTTTTTTTCTCTTATTATTTTAATATGATTAATTAATTAATTAATTAATTTACAATAACAAAAGTAAGTATTTTACATTGTAATATAATTATGAATCCATGAAAAAGTCAACCTAACATGAATTGTCCTAAAGTTAATCAAAGATGAATTAAACTTTGTTGCACAAATAAATATTTTCCATATCCTAGAAAGTAGCATTTGAGCTACAAAATACTGAGTCCTATGTTTGGATTGGATAATTACACACCTAACAAAGAAGGGAAAATGTTAGGTAGCATAAATAGTAAAAAAATCAACTCTACTATCTAGCTAGATAATATATATATATATATATATATATATATATATATATATATATATATATATATATATATATATATTAAAAAATTTATTATTGTTCAAAAAATTTTGAAAGAAAATAAAAAATCTATACACATGAAGCATGGTTGGTTCCACAAAAATATTTTATAATAGAAGAGCATAAATAAATATCAACTCTTTTGTTTCCAAGTGGTGTATTTAGTATAAATAAATATTTATTTATTTATTAGTGATACTTGACTGAATTTATTATTAAGTTTTCGAGACGGATAAATAGTAAATTTGTGTTAGTATGTTTTTAATGTAGAATTGACTGAAACACTTATTTATTGACTTCTTCTAATTGGAAAACATGTTTGTTTTTATATGTTTCAATTCAAGGTGGACTGGAGTGAAACGCTTAATTAGTGAATTTTAATTGAGGAAAACAATTTTCGATAAATGGTGTTTATTTATAAAAGTCATAATTATTATTTTTTTTTATAAAAAGAAAATGTTTTCATGCATTTTTTTATGGGATCAATATTACAAAATTTGTTGATAAAGTGATATATATATTAATTAGAAGTTGTTAAAGAGAATAGTTTTATGGGAGGAATTGTCTACTATTGATTGGTTTAAGGTGATGATTTCATTATTGGTCTGAGTGCTGTGAAACATAAGGTAGTATTCTTCCAATTTTTTTCTTATTACTTTGATTTTAAAAACCAGATGAATTCATGGTACAAATTCTTACTTTTAGTTGAATTATACTAGGTAAAATGATAGATTTAATAATAAATTTTTTAATATTATAAGAAAAAGTCTCATATAAACTACTTCAATTTTTTAAATATAATTTTTATATTTATTGGTTATTTCATCTAATATTAATTGATTTTAAGTTAAAAATATATATACATGATATTAGAACTATTTTAATTTTATCTATTGGAACATAGATCTTAGTTAAAATTATATTTTCTGTCTCAATTGTTATTAATCAAGGGCATGTCATACAAATTCATGTATTATTTATTTCAATTCTTATCATGGCTTTATATATATCCACCTAACCTAATGTTAATTAATTTTAAGTTGAAATTTAAGAAATATTAAATAAGATGGAGATTTATGCAATGTGAACTACTTGAATTCTTTTGCATGTAGGTAATGCAAAAATCTTCTCAAATATAATGTGAACTCATCAACAAAGTCATCCCTTTTATGGTTATACAATGAAATGATTATTTTCTCACTCGTATATCATGTTTTAAGAAAATCACTAAATTTAATTTTAGTTAAAATGTCAATTGTGTTCTTAGTCTATGTAAAACAATCTTTATGAAATATTATTGATCATTATATACATCAAATTGTTAAGAATTATTTAAATAAATTAGATTCTTCCTAATCTTATTTTTACTTTTCTTAATTCCAAATTTCAAAAAAGCATAATAAGGACTATAAACTAATTATTGTGGCCAACTTTTGTTTTAATTAAAATCATTACAAACCTAACATAGTATATCAAGATATATAGTTGATACAATTATAGTTCCTCAACAATTTGTCATTGTTTCATAGCCCATTAACATATTTTATAGACATGAATATGGAGGTAATATTGCCATTAAATTTGATCTTTATAAAACCTTAAATAAACTTGACTATAATATCTTAATTTCTACCTTTAGGGCCTTTTAGACTTAAAAATCTACGTTTTTGTTCTTGGGTTGACAAATTCTTAGATTAGGAAGATTTTCCTTTAATATTAATGGATAAATAGAAAGTTATATTATTTATGAAATGAGAATTAAACAGGGGATCCATTCTCTCTCTTTTTTATTTTCTTTTTCTATATAAAAAAGAAGTTTTAAGCAATGGAATTTATGTTCACAAAGAACATAAGCAAATTCTAACAAGATAATAAAAAAAGAATAATTATCAATTCTTATTTTTTATATTGATGACATTTTCCTTTTCTGCCTATCAAATTATAAGATGTCATGTAATATCAATAATCCTGAGTCAGTTTTGCATGCAAATGTTGCAATATTATAACTTAATAATTTTTAGGACTAGTTAACGTGGAGTAGGTATATGAATAACCATATTAGAAAATTCAATCATTTTGTTCTAAGTAGTCAAAATATTAAATTATTTTGATCTAATGAAACATCTCTTTCTCACTTTTTATGTTTTCGGAGGTTGCATCGTAATAAATTGCTCACAACTCAATAAAATAAATTGGGATTCTTATTATCTCAATTTGTATTTTATTTAGTAAAGATAATAAATATGATAATCACTTGTTTTGTATTGTTTTATGGTGAAACATGTTTGAAATTAGTTGAAGATGTTTTGGGGTGATCTAATGTTGTGTTTGTTATAATTTTTCTTGATTATCGACCAAAAACTCATCACATTTTGATTAATGATTTTTAGGCCGATTTAAAATAAAATTATGAAATTTGTATTTTAACTTGGTCATAAGAAGATTAAAAATGATGCAACTTGATTGGTGTGATAACATAGGAATAAATTTATAATTTTGTGAATTTTCCATGAAACAAAATTTGAAATTAATTTGATAATGATAATGAAAATATTGTTATAAAAAATAATCAGAATAAGTAGATATTAATTATTTATCAAATAATTATAATAAGTTTTGTAATTATTATATATATATATATATTAATAAAGATACAAATTTAGATTTCAAAATAGACCTATAAATGATTCAATCAAATAAAAAATTTGATGATATAATATAATTTATAATTTTAAATGAGTAATAATGTTTTATCTGATTATTTTTTAATTATAACATATTTATATAAAAGTAATTAATTAAAAAAATAAATTAAAATATAATTTTTTTTAAAATTAAAATTATACTAATACAATAATTTTTATTTTAAATATAATAATTTAATAAATAAATTAAATATAAAAATAGTAATTTACTTAAAATGTAATAGTTAGAGACTTTTTTATTTAACTACTATTTTTTAATAATTTAACAATTTAAAATAATAATTTATCTTAATTACTAAATTAAATATATATATATAATTTTATAATCAAAATTTTCACAAATTATTTTTTAATATGTATATGAATTAATTATTTTATTTTAAAAAAATATTATTTTATAATATAAAATTAATCTATAAGATTATGAACAAATTTAATCTTACTTATTTATATCATAAATTAAATGAGATGAAAACTAGTTTAATTCAATTTTTGATAAATTTTTTATTGTCTATGTAAGTTTTTTAAATTATAGTTCTTATTCATATATATATATATATATATATATTTAAAAGAGAAATTTTATATGTTCATCCATCTTAAATTTTTTAAGGATAAAACAATAAACAAAAATCTTAAAACAGACAATATACGATATCATCTATCATGGTGTCATTTTTGGTCGTGATTCTCCCATTCTCTCTCTAATTAATTTTTCATCTTTCTTCCCAATTCACCATCCCACCATGATTCTTTCAAAATGGATTTTTGAACTAAAGAATTCATCCAGACCCCAATAATAATGATATTCTAAAACCAAAATTAAAATAAAAAAATCAATTTTGTTTTGTTCTTTTTTAAATTGGATATGATAAATTCAGATATATAATTTTAAATACTAATTATTAAATAATGAGTTAAGAAACAACTCAAATTATAAGATAAAAAATATTTTTCTTCAACCGATACTATCTTCAAAACCATTTTTGTTTTATATATTACGACCAAATACGTGTTAGTCATTGTAACAAAAATAATAAACCACGTGTAAGTTATCTTGCTTGATAATAACACAATTAATATAATCAATTTATCAAAGAAATAAATGGTTTTTTTGTTCTACATAAAAGAAAATTTATTTGAGTATTAGAATAATAATAATAATTATTTTATTATTATGATTATTATTATAAGCATCAAACGACAGTGTACGTGTCTCTCGCTACACCTTTTATATAATCGACGAAATTACATTCCATCGTTTTTGGGTTTTAAAAATGGTTCGAACCTATTTATTCTTAATTTTCCTTGTACGAGGGAAGTACATAAAAAAAAAAATGAAAAAAGAGAACAAAAAAAAAAAAGCCTTATCACATACACAATTCATCAGGCACAAAACCATCCACACACATGTACCCTTCGAAAAATGCCATAAACCTATCGCTCACCACTCTCTATAGCCACAGAATCACTCTTTCACTTCATTCTTTTCATCATCTTCTTCATCTTCTCTTACAAGTTCCCAATAACCAGAATCCTTTTGCATGTTCCTCCTCAATTTTACACCCAAAGTTTATCCTGTCTTTGAACCGAGGTACCATACCCTTTTTGCTCTATTGGGCCGGAAGTGTGGATATTGTCTTAGTTTGTCACTTTTGATTGGATTGGTTTCTGGGTAGGTTGAGTAGTTGATTGAGGTGTGTGATGTGATGGGGTACTGATGAGGTTTTCGAAGGTGCTTTAAGTTTGGAACATTTTGTGTTTTGGTGTTGTGGGGTGGGGCTCAGTATGTTAATTCTAGTGGGAAACGTGCAGGGAACAATGAGTTCTCTTGCGTCTCCAGTGAGTTTGGGGAGCCTCATGGGTGTGAGTTCCTCTGGAAGGTCTCATTCTTTGGTGAGGAGGGTCTCTCTTTCCAGAGGGAATTGTAAGGGGAGAAAGAGATGGCATTGTTTATCATTGTCTGTGTGTAGATATTCAGTGACCGCAACTGATTTTATTGCTGACCAAGGGAACTCAGTGTCTCTTGATTCTAACAGTAGTAGTAGTAGTAAGGGTGGTGATGATGATGGTGCTGGCTTTGTGCTTAAGCCTCCTCCAAAGCCTGTGTTGAAGTCCCCAGAGAATAAGGGTGATCCCATTTTGGGGCCCTCAAGGACTACTGGGGATGTGGAAGAGAGAAATAAGGTTATTGAATCACTTGGGGAGGTGTTGGAGAAGGCGGAAAAGCTGGGGAATTCTAAGGTGAATGGTGATAAGAATAATGGTTCTGTGAATAAACCAGTTAGGAGTAATGCTGGTGCTAGTCCTAGGGCTGAGAAACCGGTGAATTCAGCAACAGCTCAGAAGTCTAAAACCTTGAAGAGTGTATGGCGTAAAGGGGACACTATTGCATCAGTGCAGAAGGTTGTGAAGGAAGTACCAAAGCCTAATTATAACAAGAATGAAGAGGAGAAGTCTCAAACTAGGAGAGGGGAGAAGGTGGTTGCTCAAACTCGTGCTCCCCAACCACCTTCGAAACCTCAACCACTGTCGAAACCTCAACCACCGACGAAACCTCAACCGGCATTGCTATCAAAACCTTCTATAGCTCCCCCACCTGTCAAAAAACCTGTTGTCTTGAGGGACAAGGGAGCAGCTGAAACATCAGTTCAATCTAAAGAAAAGAAGTCACCCATCTTGATTGACAAGTTTGCTTCCAAGAAACCAGTAGTTGATCCTCTAATTGCGCAAGCAGTTCTAGCCCCTCCAAAACCAGGAAAGGTGCCTCCCCCGGGAAAGTTTAAAGATGATTTCCGGAAGAAAGGTGCTCTGGCTGGGAGTGGACGAAGAAGACGAATGTTGAATGATGAAGATGATACTGATGTGATTAATGATGCATCAGAACTTGATGTGTCTATTCCTGGTGCCACAACAGCAAGAAAAGGAAGGAAATGGAGCAAAGCTAGTCGAAAGGCAGCAAGACTCCAGGCTGCCAGGGATGCAGCTCCTGTCAAAGTAGAAATTCTAGAGGTTGGTGAGACTGGTATGCTGGTGGAGGAATTGGCCTACTGTTTGGCAACCAGTGAAGGTGAAATCCTTGGTTATCTATACTCCAAGGGGATTAAACCAGACGGGGTACAAACTCTAGATAAAGATATGGTAAAGATGATTTGTAAAGAGTATGATGTTGAAGTCATAGATGCTGACCCGGTCAAAGTTGAAAGTTTAGTGAAGAAAAGAGAAATCCTTGACGAAGATGACCTCGATAAACTTAAAGATAGGCCTCCTGTTATCACCATTATGGGCCATGTAGATCATGGCAAGGTTAGTACTCTGTATTTTTCATTTTTCTCTGTTTTCTTTACCCTGAATTCCTACATTTGTTGACATTTTTTGGTGTTTTCAAATGACAGACAACCCTTTTGGATTATATACGGAAGACCAAGGTATGGTGGAAAATGAATCAAATCGCCATGCCTCTTTCAGTATCTTTAAGCAAGCATGAGCATATTAAGTTTACGTGGATGCTTACTTATGTGAATGATTATCACCATGTTTTAGACAACTTTTATGTACCATGATTAGGTTACTACAGTAGTTTACATATGCATACAGTTGTTTCAATGCTGATTGGACTATGGTTTCCGTATCCAATCCATGAATTTCAATGTAAGGGATTTGGGATTAATATAACTTTGAAAGCACAAGCATTTCGAGGGCCCTTATGGAAAGAGATACTAATCTGAGAGAATTAAAAGGATTATTGCCAGTTGTAACGTACAATAACTAAGAGATAATTGGTTAATAATTAGTAATAAATGTTGTTTGTTTTAGTGAAATGCTATGCTGTAGTCTACTCCTTTTTCTGAAGCTTTTCCTGCTGAATCCCATATTACACTCACATTCAGTTTTAGCCTGATGCGTAAATTGTCAACAGGTAGCTGCTTCTGAAGCTGGTGGGATCACACAAGGAATTGGGGCCTATAAAGTGCAAGTTCCTGTTGATGGCAAGAAGTTGCCCTGTGTTTTCCTTGACACTCCTGGACACGAGGTATACTCAATTTTAATTACATTTTCCACAGCTGACTTTTTTTCCTTATAAGTATGCAATTCCTTCTGCTGGATCATTGTCGATTCCTTTAGTCCTTGTCATGATATACTGACTTATGCTAGCATGTAGTTTTTGGCCGAGTTATTAACTATAACTCAACTTTTCACTTTTTCTTTCCCTTCAATGATATATATTGTATGTGCTCTTCTAGGCATTTGGAGCCATGAGAGCTCGTGGAGCAAGTGTAACAGACATTGCTATTATTGTTGTGGCTGCTGATGATGGAATTCGTCCTCAAACAAATGAAGCTATTGCTCATGCCAAAGCAGCGGGAGTACCCATAATCATTGCTATAAACAAGGCATGTCAACATAATGTGTCCAACCTTATTTTATAATGCTTGTGCTTGACATGATGATGGCTTGAGAAATTGTTGACAAATTATTATTTATTTCTCTCAAACAGATAGATAAAGATGGAGCAAATCCAGAACGAGTCATGCAAGAGCTTTCTTCAATTGGTTTAATGCCAGAAGACTGGGGTGGTAACATCCCGATGGTTCCGGTTTGTATTTCTTATCTGTCACTATCATTTTTATACCCTGTTTATGTTTCTTTAACTTTCAAGAAGTTATATTTGTCTCCTGTCCTCTTGTCACCAGATAAGTGCTCTTAAAGGGAAGAATGTAGATGATCTTTTGGAAACTGTTATGCTTGTTGCTGAGGTAACTATACTGTTGGTGTCATGACTAGTTTAAGTCACTTTATAACTATTCTATCTCTCTATATGATTAATTTATAAATTTTAATGTTATATTATTGTGTATTGATTAAAATCTTGTTTTTGGCATATACTTGCAAGTTGTGATCAATAGATGGAATTAAATCTATTATGAGAGTAATTTTTCACATTCAGAACATCTTGATTTTTTCTCAAAAATACACGGATTTTACCACTCACTTCCCATATTTAATTTAATAATATGCATATAGCATAAGAAAAAGTATTTTGTTGCCGAGTCCTAGCATTCTAAAGTCTCCTCCATGTTGGAGATACCTTGATTAGTCTTTAAATGACAGTGCATCAATGTTTGGTTAAAATGTACCCTTGTTTGATCATTCTTTTATCTTTATGGCATTCACTCTGACCTAAGCATTAATGGTTTAGTTGCAAGAGCTGAAAGCTAATCCTGATAGAAGTGCGAGGGGAACAGTCATTGAGGCAGGGCTAGATAAATCAAAGGGACCATTTGCTACTTTTATTGTGCAGAACGGCTCCCTCAGACGGGGTGATATTGTAGTTTGTGGAGAAGCTTTTGGAAAGGTTGGTGGATGCTAAACATAAAATCTATATGACCCTAACACCTGCTTATTGAATTCTGCCATTGTACTCTGCTTCCCTCTGCATTGGTAAACATATTTTATTTACTTCTTTCAGGTGCGGGCTTTATTTGATGATGGTGGAAAGCGTGTTGATGAAGCTACACCTTCTATACCTGTACAGGTTTGTAAATTCATAGCAAAAAAGAGGCATACAATGCATTACTACATTTTTCTTTCTCTGAGAAATTGCTTAGAAAAATGGAGAAACACAGTACAATAGAACTAGGGGGGATTGTGGAGTAGTTAGGACACCATTTCCCATCAAGCATCAAGCATCAAGCTCAAGTGGACAACTAGTCTTCTATATCAATGTTGTGAGGCTAATATGATTACATGACTCACATCCATAATGTGGGTTCCCTTGACATGTACATGGCCTGAATCACTACATCTGCTTGTATCAAATATTAGTTTGCTAATCAACACAAATACTGGATGCTTATTAAGTTCACTCATCTTCTGTTAGGTACCCATTAGATGGTTACATTAGTGACATAGATAGCTAGGTTAGTGGACTGAAATAGTTTACTTATGAGTAAAATATGAGAAAAGGCTTAAGAGATTATTTATCTCTTAGCTGATCCATATATTATTTATAGGAAAACATATATCAGAGATACGAGAGAGAAATAAGAAAAAGCTACACCTAGGTGACAAATAGGTACAAATGAAAACAACTTTTCAAAGAAGAAACTTTAACCTATCCTAACAAGTTAAATTATGCTAACAAGTTTGAATCAGGCATGCTGCCTGATTATTATATAATTTTTTTTTTCTAGTTTCTGTCATCTTTTTATTTATTGGTGAGAATTCGTTAGTTAGCAGCATAATTGTTGACATGATATTTCTGTAATTGCCATTGAAATTAATAATCATTATCTATTATATTTACTGTATGTGCATTTATATCCTTATATGATGATGTGTGCTGAACAACACAAATGTTTCTACAACCAAATCAATTAATATGGAGACACAAATTTGAGGTGCTTTGTATTGAATAATGGGTTTGTCTCTTCAATGTGATAGCATGGGCTACACTTTTGTGTCTGGTTAAGGTGTGGGGTGAAGCATTCCTATAAATGATTGTGCTTAGGAGATTTTGCAGTGTTTTTTATCCCAAATGCTTCTTTCATCGGTCTTTTTCTGTATTGATCCTGCACTCCTCCTTTGGAGCACTGGAGGGATTTTCCTAGGAAGAATAAGTAGAGCTTCAAAAGCTGTAGCATTATTATTGCTACAAAAAGTTACCGGTCTCATTCTTGTATATTACAAACTTACTGATTAAAGGAAATGTTTTCAGTTGAATTTAGTAGAGGAGAAGAATTAAGAGAAAACTTAGAGAATGAAATAGCTTTGTGTTCAGTTGTCATACATGGGTTCTGCTATGTAGACTCGTGACGGGCTTAGTGGAGTTTAATTAACTGATACAACTCCTATACACTAATATCCACGAGCACTAAATGCATATAAACATGACATACATGAACACACTATTTGCTTACTTTATTAAGTGTCATTATTTCCAATATTTTCCTCATTAAAGAATCAAAAGATGAAAATATATTGGCGGCATCAATTTAGCTGTTAGTAGAGAAAGGTGGTGAATAAAGAACATAACACCTTCAGATTTTGATTTCTTAGATACCTACCTTTTTTGAGCCACAAGAATTATGAGGCTCTTTATAGATGCCAAAAGTTGACCTAATTCAAAATTTTCTGATGCATCTGTACAGGTTATTGGATTGAATAATGTTCCTATTGCTGGTGATGAATTTGAGGTTGTTGAATCCCTTGATAGTGCACGTGAAAAGGCAGAGGCTCGTGCTGAGTCATTGCGAAATGAGCGTATTTCGGCAAAGGCAGGAGATGGCAAGGTCACCCTTTCTTCCTTAGCTTCAGCAGTTTCCTCAGGAAAGCTGTCTGGACTTGACTTGCATCAACTTAATATTATTTTGAAGGTTGATTTTCAGGTATGATCATTTCTACAATTGTTACTTGAATTTGTACAGTTTCTTGTTGATATATAATTTGGAAACCGCTTGCCTGATTGAACCTATTAATGACTTTGTCAATGATATCATTTATCATGCAGTGGTTACATATTATTATATTGAATCATTGAAATAAGAGCATAACCTATGTAGTATGTACCTTACCGATTTACCTTACGATCTTATCATAGGCTATTTCTTGCAGGCCAATGTGTGCATGCCAATAGAATTACCAAGATATGCTTATACATCTATCCGTCAGGAAACAACATTGCCTGTCTAAGTGTTAAACATGTGTGTGATTATGTAATTTTTCATGTAGCCTGTACGGAAGTGTCAATAACCTATCCTATTCACTATGAATAACCTAGCCTATATGTAAATCTGTTGAATGCATAGCCAAATGTCAAAAATGGGTAAACATACAATGCAGATGGCACTTTCTGTATTGTATTAAATAGCTACCACTGGAATGTGTTGTGTATCATTATAGTGGTTACTGCTTCACGTGCAATTAATGTCATTATTCTTGGTCATGGCTAGGGATCTATTGAAGCTGTCAGAAAAGCTCTGCAGGTGCTACCACAAGACAATGTCACACTGAAGTTTTTGTTGGAAGCAACAGGTGATGTAAACACTAGTGATGTGGACCTTGCAGTTGCAAGCAAGGCCATCATTTTGGGATTTAATGTGAAAGCACCAGGCTCTGTGAAAAGCTATGCAGATAACAAAGTGGTTGAGATTAGATTATACAGAGTTATTTATGAATTAATTGAGGATGTACGAAATGCAATGGAAGGGCTCCTAGAACTTGTTGAGGTAAATCAACATATTTGATTGAAATTTGTTACCTTGGTGATTATGTATATGCACACTTTTGTTGGAATACACAACAAATTGATTATTAAATGACATTTCAATACAATGAAAATAGTAAAAATATCCCAGTGACTTATAAATTCGTTATTTACTGTTTCTAAGGGTACTTGTAGATTTATATTATAGTTCCCCTTTAGTTATGAGACTTACTGCTGTATTTTGGTAGGAACAAGTAACAATTGGTTCAGCGGTAGTACGAGCTGTATTCAGCAGTGGCAGTGGTCGTGTTGCTGGATGCATGGTTACAGAAGGAAAGGTATTAAAAGATTGTGGTATTCGAGTCAAGAGGAAGGGAAAAATAGTCCATGTTGGAATTATTGATTCTTTGAGACGAGTGAAGGAAATTGTTAAAGAGGTATGTATGGCTCTGTTTCCTGCATTACTTCCCATTTTTAGGATTCATACACAAGTCCATGTTCCTTAATTTTCTCACTGCTTAATTATTTTTTTTTAGAAGACTTCTCATTTTCTGATATTGTGACAATATGAGCACGTATGTATGTTCTATGTCTGTTTTTATTATAGATTTATAGATTGAATTTGAATATTTGGAATTTTTGTACACTCCTAGGTGGCACTTTCTTATACATGGATTATATTGTACTGTGTTTTAGCTGGATAGTGAACCAGGTACATAAACTTGATGTTTTTCCAGTACTTGATGGATGTTTTCTTTCTAGAGGTAACAAAATGGGTTGGATCGGATCGGATCATCTGTAAGAATCTACCCAATAAAATGTAGGGTTTAAACTTTAAGTGTTAAACTTGAATTAGAGGCAAGTTTTTATGGCCGGCCACGATACTTGATTAGGGCTTAGGCTGCAAAAAGCTCAGGAAATTGGGCTTTCTGGATATTTTCTGTCTGATTCGCTATAGCTGTGACCTGCATGGGTTTTGTCACCTCTATTTCTACACATGACATGCTTCGAGTAAAGCTTATTCAGATGCTGCCTTTTTTTGACTATGTAATGGCTTTTTCAGGCTACTTTTTTAGAATGGTTCAACAACTTTTTGCCAGTGTATTCACTATGGTTCCTTTCTGTGTTGAATGTCTGTGTTTTGTCTTTCAAGTTATTGTAGCTACTTCCTGAATACACACATTCCCTATCTCTCCCTTGTGAGCAGGTAAATGCTGGTCTTGAGTGTGGAATTGGGTTGGAAGACTTTGATGATTGGGAAGAGGGTGACATTCTTGAAGCCTTCAACACAGTTGAGAAGAAGAGGACCCTTGAAGAGGCTTCAGCATCAATGGCAGCTGCTGTGGAGGGAGTAGGAGTTGCATTGTAGAATGAAGACTGATGTGTGCCACTCTGAGATTGGTTTCCTATCTTGTGTTTGACAGTCCAAATGCATTCCAGGTTCCAGTTGAAAAGACGTATTTCTCTCCAATTGATGTTATGACATTGGGGAGAGGTAACAACAATTCCCTCATCACTCACTATATTGAAACTGAGGTTGCCACTGCTGAAGATCTGAGTTCAAAATGATTTGTTCCATTGTTGGATGTAAAAGTGTATATAACAAAGTATATCAGTTTCAGCTCCTTGTAGTAGAGAGGGAAAAAGTTTCAATGTCTTGACCCAAAAATACTTGTAACAACCACATATAAAGACAAGCGGAGAATTGCATTACTTTTTCTTCATTTTTTGTATGATGCTATATAATGGATGCATCATCGTATTTTTCATAAAAGGAGACAAAAAAGAGATGCATCATCTTACACTGAGGTCTGGAAATTTGTATTTCTACTGTGTTCTGCTCCTATATGAAATATAGTTAGATGATTCAAGGTTCTGCAACAATGTAAATGCTTTGGTTATTCATTTTTTGCATCAGAAAAAAAATTATTGACGAAAAAGTATATTTGAAAAGAGGAAGTAAAAGACTAAAAAAAAAAGGCATTTGGAAAAAAACAACTAATCATAACTTCAGCTTGTTAATGATTATATGTTGAGATTTTGCTCACTTCAAGAAGTGAAATTAACATATAGAAGAAGACTTGGTTTTCAAGTCTACGAATAGACACTTAAAGAATTTCATCACAACTTTAAAAATAGACACTTGCTTAGTCTTTGCAGCAGAGGTATTCAATGTGTTCAGAGAGGGTTATATATTGCTCTAATTTACTCCTCTAAAAAAAATAATTGAAACTAAAATGATTATTTTATACATTAAACTAGTTTTTCTTTGAAGCTTATGTAATGTCTTCTTTACATTTATATTTGTAAAAATAAAAAATTCTCATATTTCATCACAACCACTCACTCTAAACCCATAAAAAAACCTAAAACAATAAATATAATAAAGAAATACCTACTCTAAACTCTAAAATTAAAAATCATTTTACACAATATAAATTTTTTGTTTGTAACAAAATATCATATTTAGATTATTGACAGATTTTTTTTTAGATATAGAGTGTTAATAGATAAAGGAGGAGATCCACATTTTTAATTGATTTTTTTCTTTCCTAAACTAATATGAACTTTAAATATTTTTTTATTTAAATTGAAAAATCAATTGTGGATAATTCCACATACAAATATATACTATTTTAAGAGTTGATTACGTAAAAGCTAAAAAAATTGCATATACTACTATAATTAATATTTAACAATTGTCAACATTAGTATCTCCTGAATATATTTCATTGCTTTTGATTACAATCTTGTCAAAATATCGTTTTACATCTTAAATAAAAATATACTAGTTGAATATTCTCAAATTATTCATCCTAATAAATTATTTGATTTATTATCCATCTTATGAATTTTCAAATGAAGCATCCAATTACAAGATTATTAAATATCTAGTTTGTGGAGTACTTAAATCCAAATATGTTAAGTGATATTTCTATAAGCATATTTTTAAAATGTCAGCAGAATAAAATGTTGAATTTTATATGAAATTAATAAAAATTGCAATATATCACGAAGGTTTTAAAGAAAATCTAAAGAAACTTTAGTTTGTTTTAAAAGATTTAATTTACACCCATTTGAATATTAGAATTCAGAAGGTTATTTTTTGTTTTTCGTTTCTAAAACATTTTACATCTGTTATTTTTGGCTTTTTATATTAAAATAAAAACTGACGTTAATGTGTAGGACATAGATTTATGTTGACCTTTTTAATTAACGTAAATTTACATCAAATTATATAAGTATTGATATAAATTTACATTGGACATATTACGTTGGTTTTATCTACATCAGACGTAAATTTACATTAGGTGGTGTAAGACCCGATATAAATTTTGACTTTTTTTTTATTATTATGCAGTTCTATTTTTATTTAGCAACCAAAATTTGTATAAAAACATTTATATATATAAACCCAATTATTCAGAGTACAACTTAATTATATATAATTACTAAAATACATCAATATATATATCAAACTAAATTACAAGAAAATTAAATATCTACTAAATACAACAAAATTATCTTAAATTACATAATATTAACTACATTTACAAAGTTTATAAGTATCATAAATTACAAAAAGATTTACCCATTGCTCCCTCGTTTGTAAAATATCATGATCAAACAATGATGATGAATCTTAAAATCCTAAAATAATAATTCAAGTGTCATTAACATAAAATATTGATAAAATCAAATAAATTTAACTATTATTAAAATGAATTACTTCTGTTTAAGAATTAGTTATACTCACATAAACTATGATTCTCATATAATACATGATATAATAATCACATTCATACGAGTCATGTTTACCTATTACACTAAAATAAGAAATAAAATACAATGTTATTTTCAAAGTTTATATATAACAAAAATTATGGCCTCAATAATTTTCTAACATTGGGATAAATGAAGTGTAAATTTTGTTTATTTGCTTCTTTCACTTAAAATATTGCTTCCAAAGACAACTCAAATTGAAATAAAGACAAATATTTGTTAATATATATATATATATATATATATATATATATATATAATTTTAAAACATAATAAACAAAAATAAAGTCACCTTTATAATAGACTTTTGATTTTTTGACTGGGTTTTCGGTGTAGCAAAAAGAACCACACCATTGTGTAATCTCTTGGGATAATTATAATTAACTGCCAATGAAACTTGGTATATATTGTATGTCAAACAAATTAGTTATATAAAAAAATTAACATAATGAAAATAACAAATTGAAAGACTAAACTTTTAATGTATGAAGTCAAGTATAAATATCTTTTGGAGTCACTCATCTATATTTACACACACACACAATTAATATGAAGACAAAAAGATTCATCGTCAAGAAAGTCTTAAAGTCCTTCCATCTAGTGTCAATGGATGATACAATTACAAACAAATGTTAGATTCAATTATTAATGTATGGAGTGTTCAATAAAAGTGGAAATACCTAAATATCTTGTCACATGAGGTTCTTCTTGGTCTCATTAACATCTTCCTAAGATGAAATAATAATAGAAATATGGTGTCGAGTTAGGAGTCTCAAATAGCTCCAAAACTTTGTAGCATTTAGGCCTGACACTTTACCAAAATGTGAATCAACATCAACTTGTGTCCTCTTCCTAACATCACGACCTATTGTTAACCCCTGCAATTGAGTAACAGATCAACTTCCGCTCCTATCACTAACAGACGTCAAATCCGACATAATCCTGAAAAAAAAAACAATCATTAATAAATTTCAACAAAATGAATACATATTCATATTTAAAATACACACACATATACAAATAAGAAAAAAATGTGAAAGTCAAACAAATAAACTGTAGAAACATAACAATGCAGTATATAAACAGTAAGTGCACTCAAATAAATAAATGGACAACAATAAACAATAATAGTTTAGTCTCAATAACAATACAATGTAGACATTTATGCAATATCATGATTGAGATTCCTAAAAAATTCATGAATTTAATTTAAACACAAAACTAAAGACATAGATTACTAACCTCAAAGATACTCAAGACGTTATACAACTCGAATCCAATCAGAGAAAAATTTTAACCACCATAAATGGGATACAATGCAGGTGTTGTCGCTCTGTGGTTGAAAAATACTCTTGGAGGTGCTATCAGAAAGTGTGACAAGAGAAAGAAAGACAAAGAGATAGATTAGGAAAAAGAGGTTGGAGAATAAAGACATTGAATAAGCATTCTCATTGGATATCTCTCAGGGAATAAGGTTAGTCTCCTTATTATGATTTATGTTATTACGTGAGAATTATAAATCTAAGATCCTGTAGAGTAGTTTTTTGAAATGAATGAGAAGCATAAGAAAACTACATAATTGATTTACAGGTGCTATAATGGTTGTTATCATCGTTGACTCAAAAACTCTCGTGCGCGCGAGAAAGAAGAAACCCTATATAAAATAAAACGCAGAATTTACGTTGAACCTTGAAGGGACCGACGTAAATTCTCCCCCTATTATTTTCAAAATGCCATTGCATTTTTTCTAAGTCGATTATTTTATAATTCCAAAAAAAAGGTGACGTAAATATTTTACACTAATGATTTTTGAATTTACTTTTTTGTTTTTGTTTTTGTAGTAATAATTTTCTTAAAATATTATTATTCTTGCATATGTTATAACATTTAGTCTTTGTAGGAAGAGATTAAGAATTGGCTACATCAACCGTTCTTATTTGGGATAAAATTATTCTCATGAATTTTCTCAATTTAAATTCAACTTACGGAGACACTCTCCTACATGTAACTCCAATATGAAACAAGTTTCACATGATTCATTGAGTTTCTTTATGTTATAGACTTTCTAAAACTAGAATGTAAAATAACTTATTGTAATAAGAAAGAGTAGAATTAAGGGTATTAGAGTTAGAAGTTTTATTTGAGTCATCATTTATGTGATCATAAATATTGATGATCATCTAAAAATACATTCATGTTATATATAATGCTCCATTTGTAATGATTTTGTACATATTGTTTAACCACTGGAGTTCATGAAACTTGTATTTGTTTATCATGATCCCATTTCAGGTACTATGAATTTTTTTTTCCTTCTAAATCACAACCTTTTCATGCAATTATTGAACAAACTTTGAAATTTATGGTCAAAGTTTAGAACACTTAAATGTGAAGTAACATTTTTAGTTGTATGCCACAAGCACAATCTATAACATGTATTTTACTTTACCTTTCCAAATTCCAATTGCTTTGGTCATGCATACATCTTGATCTATAAAAATGATCTTTGGTTATTGGTTTCTCTTTGAGTTATTGGTTTCTCTTACTTCCTAAGAATATTTTGAACAACCAACTAAAAGAAAATGTGGTTTCATCAAATAATAAAGGACAACCAAACATAATATTTTGCCAATGGTGATTTACACCAACAAATAGAACAAAAATCAAGTTGTATTTATTAGTACTAAGTGGTGTAAAAAGCTATAATTAACTTCCCAAAACAATCATAATCAATTTTGTACCTACCATCACTCTAAAACACATTAGTCAATCATGACTCTTGGTGTACCCAAACACTAATAAAACAAAGAATCTTATGATTATTTATTATGTAATTTATTTATCAAATACTAAACATTTTCGACTTTAATATTTTTAACATTTTAAATTATACATTATTGTATTTGTCTTTCATATTATATCAAATTTGTAAAATTCTTCAACCATTAATTTTATAATATCTATTACAATTTGCTATATTATTTATAACAAAACACATCGAATATATTTGTTCTTGTGACTCAAAGTCATGGTTATGATCTTTCCTAAATTTGAAATTGTCCACAATCCTTTTTTTACTCACACTAAAGTGTACCATAATTTTAAAATTTGTTTTGGAACCTGTTATTTCAAAATTTACTTATGCTTTTGGCTCATTGTTCTTAAACCCTTCCGTTGAACAACAAAAATAGTTAAGTACACACTTTTTCTCATTATCATAATAGAACGTCCTTGTTTTTTTACACTAAAATCCATTTTAAAAATATGTGCTTGGTGCATATATATATATATATATATATATATATATATATATATATATATATATATATATATATATATATTTTAAATTAACTTTATGGAAGGACATTTGACAATGATAAATTTTCTAAGAAAATATTAATCTAAAATAAAAAACATAAAAAAGTTAAGTAGAAAGTTAACCGCTTACCAATTATAAAAAAGATTTTCTTATTTCAACTAATCAATAACATAAACCTAAGATTCATGTATTCATTGTGATCCTTTATTATCGTGGATATTTTCGTTGCATTTCATTAAAAAATGATGATGAAAAATAAAAAATAAATGCAAAGAATAAATAAAGAAACACACATCATAACTTACAAAAAAAAATACAAACTTAAAACATGATAAAAATAGAAATCAAATTCCTTTTCTTTTCTTTGATATGATCATGAAATAATGAATTATTATAAAATATTAAGTACACAAGATAATTTGTAAGAAAAAAATTTTCAAATAGGTAAGTCAAGAATGACAAAAAAAAAAAAGAAGAAAAAAAGTAATAGAGTTTTGCGAAGTTGAGGGGAGAAATTAGAAGATATAATAATCATTTTATTTTTTATTTTTTCTAAAAAGTTGATGACTTGACAAAATTCACTTCGTGACGTGTAAGTGGTAGGTTACGTGCATGTACATACATGATAATAGGAAGATTAAAAGAAAAAAACTAGTTTTGAAGTATAAAATAATCATTTTAATTTTAATTCATTTTTTAAGTTAATGACTTCTTAAAATTCAAATAGACATGTGCAAATATACATATAAGGGATAGGGTACGTACATATAAGAATTACTCGTTAAAAAATTAAAGAAAATGTTTGAGTATACATCATCATATTTTTAACCATATAAATCTCTTAACTTTCAGAGTTCATTTGATATTTTGAATATAATTTTCTTTTACAGTCTATAAATATATGATTTAACACAAGTTACCTTAAATTGTTCCAATTCGAAATTTAATTTAAAACTCAAAATTGTCTGTTAATGTGTGATCAAATTGAAAAATTTGAGGCAAATTAATTAAATATTGTCAGAATATTTTAGTGAACAAATAATCGTTACCATGGTTTTTTTTGCCCCACTAAGCATATCAAATTCATGGCCTCTGACTTTTGAATTCAAAGTAAAAAAGGTAAATGACGTGGCATATGTTCCAATAACACTGGTTTATCCAAAGTCAGAATCCAAAGCAGAAAGCAGAAACTCCACCAAGAATTCTAAGTTTTGTAATGTGGATTTTGTAAATTCTGCCCCGCTTTCACCGTTTCAAATTTGAAACCACAACGGTCGAATTTTCATTAAGGCAAGTTCAATCTTTGCACATACTTTCCTTGTAATCAAATCAAATTCCATTTCAGAAAAATCTTCCACTTTTCTTATCGTCGTCATCACCATCACCATTACATAACCCCCTTTTTTTAATTTATGCTGCGATTTATTATTATTCTTGCTGAATTCAAAGTTCAAACATTTTGGTCATTTTATTGATGGAGGATACTAATCAATGGTGTCGCTATGACCATGACCCACTTCTTCTCACGGACGTTTCTTTGCAACAAGAATCCTCTTCTTATACTCGCTGCTCCAATTGTATGAACCCTTTAACTTTTCTCATTCATTTTCTTTCTTTCTTTCTCTCTCTTGTGGAAGCAGCCAAAAGAAAAATAATGTATAAAAAAGTGATTATTAGTGCCAAGTTTTGAATTTGATGATCTCCTCGTGCACCCTTCTGGTTTGCTTATCACTTTTTATCTTCATTTTGACGTGACAGCTCTTTCGCAATCATCACTGAGCTCTCAGGTTTTGGCTATGGAGGATGAGCCCGTGTGTGGTGACAGTCCTAGTATCGGTTAGGGCACTTAACTGAGAACAAAATATGAATGTTGAATCTTTACTCGTCCTTGATGAGAGTTGTGAATTGCTTCTGCAGGGTTTTCACGGAAAAATGGAGGTTTTGAAGGGAACAGCGTGAAATTCGATGACCCAATTGTGAAAAATGTGGTTGATGGTAATGGGGTTAGGATTTTCTGCACAATTCAAGTTTTTCCCTCTCTTTGTTTTTTTAGTTTTAAAGTTTGATGGTGTCTGTTACGGTATGATAATCTGATAGCATATGATGGGCTAATATTGTTTCAGGAAGATCCATTTTGGGGTATTCTCTGACATCCCCAGATTTGGTCATTTGTGCTGGCTCACCAGATGTAGCTGGAATTAGCCGTTGCGATTCTCCTGAATTTTTGAAGAACCAACATTGCAAGAATGTGGAGTCATCGATGGAGCTTTCTCTAGAGTATGGAATCAAGGGGTCTCAAGTTGAAGTTGACAAAGAGCATAAGATTCCAACTGTTAAATTCTCCAATTTCTGTCAAACTTTTGAGCAAGAGGAAGAGCTACTGAGCCCTGAAGCCTCCTTTGAGCTTCTTCCACCCCTTCTAACCAAGGATGAGTCACCCCACGATTCCCCTCTTAGTGAGTTCAACTCTTGTCATCACTAATTGTGAATAAATGTTTTGAAATTTGAACATGGTTGGGGGATTATGTGATGCTTCTGGTTATAGTTAAAACTCCTGATTGTTATTTAACTAAATTTTGCTGTAAATTCAGGAGATACTGAGATGCTAGAAGATAATGGAGTGTCTCAGGAGGGAGAATTGGAGTCCTCAGAAGTATGCTTCGTTGTGAATAGTGGTTGATTCGTTGTTTTGAGTAGAAAAAATGAGAGTGATAATGTGCCTTAATCAATGATGTTTTTGTAGGATGCCGAGGATATTGGGGTAGAAGAGAAATTTAAAAGGCTGAAAAGAGACTTTGAGTATCAGAGAAAGGAGCTGGTAGAAACGAGGAGGGAGTTAGGGGAGATAAAAAAGGAGAATCAGCAGAAGAGTAGAGAATGTCAAGAAGCTTGGAACTCCTTGAAAGAGCTTCAGAATGAGCTAATGCGCAAGTCCATGCACGTAGGATCTTTAGGTATAGATATCTCTTTCTCCCTTTCTACAGTTATTATAATATATAACAAAAAACTTGAGGTTTTGTTGACGTAATTAACCCAATATTTTCGGCTATGCAGCATTTGCCATTGAGGGGCAAGTGAAAGAGAAAAGTAGGTGGTTTTCGTCGCTGAGAGATTTAACAAGGAAATTGAAGGTACTGATATGCTAACTAAATTGAGTGACCAAGCAAATTGAAAAGGGCAAGGATATATTTATAATGGGTTAAACAATTTCATTGGATAGATTATGAAAATGGAACACATAAAGCTATTAGGAGAAGCGGAGGCAAGCAAAAAATATCAAGCAGATATGAGAGAAATGGGGCTTATCATTAAGTCCAAAAGTAAGTAGATGTTCAAGAATACAGCTTTCATTCTTATATACGTTACAGTTTGTGGTTGCATTTTGCGTAATCTAATTCGTAAATTTATATTATAGTTAATGAAAAACTGGAGTCCCATGAAGATCTCAAGTCTAAATATGTTGAAGGGGCTAAGGAACGGAAAGAGCTTTACAACAAGGTCTTGGAGTTGAGAGGTAAGCTGTGCAGATCTTGTTTTGTTAGAGTTTGATGAATATAAATAATATGAAGGATGATTCACTCACTATTATTCTACACAGGAAACATAAGGGTCTTCTGCCGTTGTAGGCCTCTCAATGCAGAAGAGATAACTTCAGGAGCAACAATGGCCTTAGATTTTGAATCTGCGAAAGATGGTGAGCTAACTGTAATGTCAAATGGAGCTCCTAAAAAGACTTTTAAGTTCGATGCTGTCTTTCATCCCCAAGCTGAACAAGGTAACTCTTAGTTATTACCGTCAATTTCTTTAGGATGGTTCTGAATTGAATACAGACGCTCATTTTGCCAGATTTGTATAATTTTCTTTATAGCTGATATTTTTGAAGACACGGCACCATTTGCGACATCAGTTCTAGATGGATTCAACGTATGCATTTTTGCATATGGACAGACTGGGACAGGGAAAACATTCACAATGGAGGGCACTGAAGAGGCTCGAGGTGTAAACTTTAGGACTCTCGAAAAAATGTTCGACATAATCAAGGAGAGACAGAAGTTTTATTGTTATGATATTTCTGTTAGTGTCTTAGAAGTGTACAATGAGCAAATAAGAGATTTGCTGGTTGCAGGAAATCATCAAGGAACAGCTGCAAAAAGGTATACTACAAACAAATTGGCTAATTTTCTTGCTATTTTCAACCTGATAGCACTTTCAAAACTAAGAGAAGGAAATTAAAGTGAAACTCACTTTGAGCTTATTCTTTAAGTTTTCAGAATAGTAACTCCCACAGTTCACTAAAATATGGTTAATTGTAGACTTGAAATAAGGCAAGCTGGTGAAGGAATGCATCACATTCCAGGTTTGGTTGAGGCACATGTGAACAATATGACTGAAGTCTGGGAAGTCCTACAAACTGGTAGCAATGCAAGGGCAGTAAGCTCAACCAATTCCAATGAGCATAGCAGCCGATCACACTGGTCAGTTGCACCTTTTTTAATTAGACTCCTTATCCATACTTTTAATACGATAGTTGGAGAAACACTGCTTATGATGAGATGTTCTTTCTCTATACAGCATTCACTGTGTTATGGTTAAGGGAGAGAATTTGTTGAATGGAGAATGCACGAGAAGCAAGCTATGGTTGGTAGATCTAGCAGGCAGTGAGCGAGTGGCAAAGACAGAAGTTCATGGTGATAGATTGAAGGAGACACAAAATATTAACAGGTCTCTATCTGCACTTGGTGATGTCATATCAGCTCTTGCAACGAAAAGTTCACACATCCCTTTCAGGTTATGGATATATAAATATTGGCCCATGTTGCAGCTTTGAACTTCTTTCTTGTAGTTGGTATTGAAGTTTTGTTATTCTTCATGTTGCAGGAACAGCAAGCTTACACACTTGCTGCAAGACTCATTAGGTATTTGTCTATACCTGTTAAAGAATCCCCATGCTTGGCTTCGATCCTCCGCATGTTTGCAAATATGATTATAAAATTTGATGAAAATTTTTGTTTTTTAGGAGGAGATTCGAAGGCACTCATGTTTGTACAGATCAGTCCTAATGAAAACGATTTGAGTGAGACGATTTGCTCTCTTAACTTCGCCAGTAGAGTGAGAGGAATAGAATTGGGCCCTGCAAGAAAGCAGTTGGACACTGTTGAGCTTTTGAGACACAAACAAATGGTATGGTCGATGGAATGCTGTTGTATTCATTAATTATTAGCATTTCACTGCTTAACTGTGATAGTCTATTTCTTTTCAACATGTTTACTCCCCTTTTTTTAGGCTGATAAAGTCAAACAAGAGGTAAAGCTGAAGGATTTGCAAATCAAGAAGATGGAGGAAACAATCCATGGATTAGAGTCCAAGGTGAAGGAAAGAGATATCAAAAACAAAAATATGCAAGAGAAGGTATCATATCATAGCACAAATTTTCTTATATTGTCTTCCTTGATATTGCTTCTCTTGGACTTCACTTGTGAATATCTCTTTATTGTCTGGTTTCATATGGAAGGTCAAGGAACTGGAGTCACAGCTTCTGATTGAGAGAAAGCTGGCGCGTCAACATGTAGACTCAAAGATAGCTGAGCAGCACCAACTGAAACATCAAGAAGAGCAAAATAATGCACTTATGAGATCAGCAGTTGCAAATAGAACGCTAGGAAATCTCAAGAATTTCAATGATACAGTGAGTGGTGGCTGGTGCAAAGACCAACAAATGAATTCAGCTAAACCACTCGCAGAGAACAACAACATCTTTAAACCTTTTATACCCTTTGCTACGATGGAGAGCTCCCTTAAGTGCATTGACCATTCTGAGAAAGAAAACAATCCTGAGATGGCTGATAAAGCCCTACTGCCAAAGAGGCCTGGAAGAGCTTCTTCAATTTGTATGATGGCACCACGTGTTCCTTCAGCCATTGCTTCAAGGAGAAACTCTCTGATTCCACTCCCAAGTATTCCTAGCTTAACACAGTTCCAATCACCATTTTTACCAATTTTAACAAACCAAGCTGATCAGAAAGATGTCATTGGGGAAGCAGAAGCCAATTGTTTGCCTGTACAACAGACTCATTGTGAGAGCCCCAAAGAAGTTAGAAGTGGTGCTAAGAGGATAGGTAGCATACTAAGAAGAAGCCTGCATAAGAAAATCCAGGTGAAGTCTCCACTTCAGCAGCACATGAGGAAGGTTGGTGTCAATGTAGGGATGGAGAAAGTTAGAGTTTCCATTGGAAGAATGGGGAGATTAGGTCCGAGGGGGCAAGTAGGAAGTGGTAGAAAAGGAGGAGCTAAAGATACTCAACAAAAAAACAGTCAAAAGGAAAAGGAAAGGGGATGGATCTGAAAGCTGTGTTGATCTTAGATTTATTTTATTTTATTTTATTTTTTTGTGATGTGTGAATAGATGACGTTGTTTTCTTGTGTGTCTTTCAAGGAATATGAAAAATTATGTTTTTCATGTGGGAAATGCTGAACGTGTATCTATGTGAAAAAAATCATCTCATCCACTACTTACTAGTGAGATGGAACCATCAATCTACAAAAATACATGTTGAGTCTTTTACATACAAGGTTTCGTCGTTTTTGAAAATTGATGAAGATCAACTTCTAGGAAAAGTAAAATGAATGGAGATGGTAATGTTGTACTTAAAAATTTTTAAATTATATTAACAAGAAGATTAACTGTATAATAATAGCAATTCCTATGAGAGTTAGATTTAGTTAAACCCCATTAATTTTAGAACAAACTTCTCCAACCTAATTCACTGAAGGTTAGGTTGAAAGATATGTTTAAACCTACTCAACCTAAACCATGAGAATTCATACAATGACTTTACAATGTTGATACTCAAGTTTGAAACTTACTATAAGAAGAAAAAAAAAGAAAAAGAAAAAAATCTATTAACATCTGATAAAACCATTATAGTTCTGTCGGAGGTTCAGCATATGTCTCACCAACTAGCAAAATTTTGACTACCTTTATGTCAATGCATGAGGAACATGAAATAAACATAGGCTAATCTTATTTATCACAAGTTTCTCCGAATTAATCCTTGAAAGGCCTGTGATAGATGCATTCGAACCTTCAAGTCCCAACAACATCAATTGAGAGTTTCACATCCTCCTAAAAAAATTATTTAAATATAATCATATTAAAATTGAAGTTTAAATTTTGTTCAATTCTGCAAACCAAATTATATATAACAAAAATGAGTTAGATATTTTAATTTAATTATATACTCCTTTTTAAATAAATTAATACAATATTCATTTATATATATATATATATATATATATATATTAATTAGTGTTTAAATTTACACCAAATCCGAATTATTAGGATTGGTATAGATTAAGTGACTCAAATTATTTTTTAATTGTTGTTATAATTTTAATGATTAATGTTTTTGTCTCCATTGATATATTTAATTAGGGGACAATTATGATTGAAAACAATATTGATTCAAATATTTGATGAGCTTCAATTCATACTTACATCACAAATTTTGTAATTCTAATACTATTTTGTTATTAAAGACTTATTTTTTGTTCTTATTATTATTTTTTAATAATCAATAATTTGAAATAATAATTCATCTTAACCAATAGATATATTGGTCTTAAAATAAGTGAATCTTACATGTTTATATCTTTTAAATTTGGATCATAATTTTTTTTTCAACTTCACCTATTTATCGACGAATGATACTTAATCTATTTTAACATCCTATTATTTTTCTCTACGTCTATTTCAGCCAACCTCATTGCCATGGAAAGATTGAGGCAAAGAAGGAATAAACCATTGCAAAAGTTCATGGGTGTTTGGAGAAATAAGCCTTATCATAAGAGATTAGTCACCTGAATGGCCATACACGTAATGATGATCACAGTGTACAAGAAGCTTACAACCTCAAGTTGGTAGGTAACCTTGCCACCTCCATCCTACACATATCAAACAAAGCATTATGCCTAAATTAAAACAATGGACATACCACCAATCCACATTTTTTTTCCATATCGAAGTTGATCAAGTCAATCCTTAGATGAATCCAGTGGCTTGGCTCAGGGCTCTCTTTAGACCATTTTCGTATACTTTAAGAAGATTTCCTTCAACTTTACGAAACTAGACATTGGTCTTGTCAAACTCTTTTAGGAAAATATTCAATTGACCTTTTTCTTCTATACTTTGGCCTCATTAAAGTTTTTAAAGCTCAACATTAGGTCCTTTATATTGACCCTCTCTCCGAGCGTTTTAGAAACTATTTAGCCTAATTTTTAGTATTGACAACCTTTTTGGAAAGTTTTCTAATTTCTTAGCCTTCAAAATTTATTGTTTTCTGTTATTCAAATGAAGTTGTGCATTTTGACCTTTCAACTTGGATAGACACTTCTCTAACTCTTTCATCTTACCTTCTTGTACATCAATTATAGCCAATTTCAAAAAATAGAAAATAGCCATGCACTAAGTCATCATAACCTTGGTCAAATCTAAGCATATCCAATAGTCCCAAAGACCTTAATCAACTCAACATTCAAAGGGTGGGGAAACATCCCCGATCTTTAACCATACTGACAATCATGTTGACATGTCAGAAAGAGTTTACCCTTAGTTTGCTTGTCTTCCCATGATCCATTTAATCGACTGACCCCACAAGGATTAATTAGTTTGAATTTTAACACTAAACTCCTAACCATGAAGAATAATGGCAAAGAAAACAAAAGAGACACAACGACCATGAAGAATCAAAGGTACCTATAAAAAGAAAACGTAAACAATGAAGACCATGACCAATGAATAAACGTAAGAGTAATGCATAAACAAACAAGGACACAAATGAAATGAAGAGCAAAATGAGAAGCGGAAGGGTCACAATTCTTATATGTAAGAAAGAAAACTTTTCGCCTACTTAAGTCCCTTCCCTTACCCAAGGCTACGGATATGACATTTGGTAGCCTCAAGAAACGAAATAGCAGCTTGCTAATGAATATATTATTTCGTTTAAAAACCCATCATTAAATGTATCATTTCAATTCCTAATTAATGAGTATTAAACATAAATGATTGGATTACAATGCAAAAGTAATAAACTTGGTGGCACATCTTAAAACTTATCAGATTGGATACACATTGATAATTGAAGGTAAGTTTGTGTCAAGATTGGTTGCATTTTTTATTCATAAAAGCTTATTTAAGATCATTTCATCCTCAATTAGATGATAAAGTTGGTTTTATTTAAAGCATCCTCCTCTCTATGTTATATCCTAATACTTCTTTAAGGCTTGGGGGCTTGCAGACCCTACCAATATATTTAGTTAAGGAATAATAATTTTTTATAACAAAAAGAACAAATGATTCAAGTGTTTAGCAGACAGTGAAAACTTTCGTCAAGAAAAGCAAAACGAAAGAGAGTCACGTTAGTTAAGTGAACTAATATGAACTGTCAAATCAGAAAAGAAAGCATTAGTTTGAATTGAGTGGAAGAATTATACCTCGTGAACGGATTCTCATCCATAGTATTGTAACCTTCACTCCAAAATTCATATTTGTAGGTTAATTCTCATATGATAGGATTGTTTATAATGCATGCAGATATATAATATAATTAAAAATACAAAAATGCAACTTGTATAATAATATGCATGTACACATATATATACTCAAGTTATGATATAAGCTAGTTTCCTTATCATAACTTATCTTTCACAATAATAAATATAAATCCATTTACCTGAATAAAGTGACGATTCCTATGGTTTTTGTTTTTAATTTTCATGTTAAGTTTCAATTTGTCTGTGTTCGGGACAGGTGGTTTCTAACTGAAATAACTACAAGCAACTTGCAAGTTCAGGATCAATGGAATCATTACTCATTTGCCAACTTGGAGCATCTTCTCTGCTCATATAATTTCTTTGCTTCTTGTAACATTACCAACTGGGTTCACCAAACAGAATGGGCCTTTGGCCAACTGTGACTGATACAAAACTAGTATATATAAATATATGATCATCTCACCAATTCTCATTTTTGTCAATATGTTTCAGAAGGGCACCCTAATTTAGTTGAGTTTCATGATTGAACTCTCTCTCACCATTGTTTGAAACTGATAAATTTAATTAAATAATGTGTAGAGGGATCTGAGTTAATGATTGAGAGTTTCAAAGGTGCATGATATTAGACAGTGGAAGTTGATGCATGTGAGTTTGTGGAAAGAAGACGAATTGGAAACATTAAAGAAATAGAAGAAAGGTCAGGTGTTATTGTTTTGTTTAGAATAATCATGAAAACTAACTATTATATATATGTAGAATAGCAGAATGGCCAAATACAATGCATCAATCCTTATATAAAGGTCGGCGAGCATGTCTGTCTTAGGTTCCACTTCTCCACTTCTCCACTTCTACTTGACCATATACAATTGATGTAAACTCTGTGATTACTTAATAGGTTTACTCTGACTCATAAAAAGTTAATTTAGTGTTATTTGTTTATGATATAACTTTCTTCTTCTGGGTGTCAATTTTCTTATTGTGTGCGTTTCTGTTGCTTAAAGCTTGCTTGATATGCAACAATGATCTTTGTATGGTAATGCATGGGAAAATGATACGAAGGATATACTTGGTCTATTTATGGTCCCATCCATCATAATGCAACAAGCAGCATGATGTTGTTTCAACTTGGTATGCATACCAAGTTAGATGTGTATCAAAAAGGTGGGAATAATCATCTATTAGGTCTTCCAAGTGTTATTCTTTTTCTTAAATAATTCTTAAACTAGTAATGTGACTTTAAAGTATTGATCACCTAATAATTTAGTCTCTAAATTAATAAGTAGCTACTTAATGATAATTTTTAATTTTTTTAAAAGATTATTTAGTATGGTTTTTAGTTCTTGATGAATTATTTTATAACTTATTTATTTTCAAATTCTGTATGGTTAGGGTTGTTTCATTTGAAGTATTATTTACTTTTTACTTAATAATTTTATCATAATCTTGTCATGTTTTCATGTATCAAACAATAGTTGTACAATTGAGATAAAGGGAATATATGGCTTAGGTTTTCTTTCATGTCAATGTTTTGACTTTAAATTTCATATATATATATATATATATATATATATATATATATATATAATATTATTATTTTGATGCGAAACTATTTTAGGGTGTCAAAATAATATAAAATATATTAATACCTTCATGGTTTATTTATACAAGGTTATTGGTAAATAATAAGTAGAAGTAGTTGAGTCGACTAGAAAACTTTATGAAATATATATTATATATTAAGGTTCTTAAATGTATAAACTTTTTCTAAGAGAGCTTATAAATTTAAGATTAATACTAATTTATTTAAATTGATGAAATCTTTTAAAAATTTAAAATATTATAATATATAAATTAGTAGCATCATCATTTTACTAATACGGTTTTTTAAGATTGAATTACGAATACTATTTTTTATGATTGAATTAGATACGTAAGGATGTTTAAGAATTAAATAATATATTAATGAAGATAACACATTCGTATTGGTGAAGGCCAACAACCATGTAGTTTGAGTTAGTTCGTTATGGCATCATTTCCATGCCATTAATTGCTTTTACATTGACAAAGTTTCATTCAATTTAAAATGAGCCACGCGATTAAGAGTTCACAAGACACCAGTCAGACTCTGATACGAGTCCTGCAGAGACACACATTGTGCACTGTCCATTTTGATTGAGCAAAAAAATCTTCATGTCTTCTTAGAGTGATGAATTGGCACGTGCTTTTAACTTATTATAAGATTTTGAGAGGGGTTTGGAATATGCTTTATGAATTGTGTTTTGATTTTTATTATTGTTATTATTAACCACTAACCATTTTCTTGGATACCATTGAGCAAGTTGAACCATCAATATGGCATCTTTCGAAAATAAATTATGTTGTGGGCATGCCAAATGCACATGCACACACACATATAGGATAATCACTATGGTGTTTGTAATGTTATTTGTCTATACAAATGTTGAGGTTGCTATATATGAGACATGACTCAGAAGAAGAGATACTATTGTTCTTAGTATTCAGAAAACTAGACTGTGTTTGCCTGATAAGAATATAAATCCTCTATTAGAAGCTATTCATCAGATTATTAATCATGGACAGCAAAGTTCTTTCTCCAAATATTTAATATGATTACATACTCAATACTTGAAGTTGAGATAACTGGTTAAATCTTTCAATGATTAATGCAATCACATAGTTAAAGCTACATATCTCTTGAATTTGAGATTACTAATTATCAAGATCTTGAACTCGATATCAACAGTAAAATTGACACAATTCTAACTCTAGTTAATCTACGTGATTGGTGATAACCATCAAGAAGTTTACTTTCACGATATTTGCTGATTCTTTTATGGACCTTGTGGTTACCTGCTAAAAATTGAAATCATTGGTTTGAAGTTGACGTAAAAACCAATGAAAAGTTCTAGATTTTTAGCTTCCACATAGAAATCTTCACTTTGTGTATGAATACTTTTTTATTTAATATCCACCCCCAAAATTCAGATACAAGCAGAACAACATCAATGGTGCGAGTTTGTGTGAATAAATGATCAAAACAAGTCAATTTTGGAGGGGATGAGATCCCCTACAAAACTTGGAGTTGACTAAAGTGTGCTAGTGAGTAAGAACAAGGGAACATCACCCATCCCCCATCATTATTATTATCAATTGAATATTAACACTTTCTTAAATTTAACATTTCCTCATTAAAGAAGAGCAGTTGGATCTCTCTTATCACGAGGGATGGAGGTTCATAATTTTGGTGTAGCCTCCATTATTATTTAGCCACACTAAATACTTCTGCTACCTAAGGAAGTTGAACCCCATTATTTATTAATGAACTCTGAATTCTAGCTTTTTCTAAGTAATATTAATGCATTAAGAAATGGGGAACTTTGGAATAATATGAATTGTGTAGGCGACAATGTAGGTCCAGTGTTGGCCACGTGGCAGACAGCATCACTAACCCCTTTCTTCTAAGGTAGGTCCCAACCCCTTAAGAGCTTCAACGCTTTCATATTACCCCACCATCATGTCACATGGGACCATCATCGCCACCCACTTTCCTCTTTCATTTATTACGTTAACCTTAGTCACAAACAAAACAATATTTAATTATGAGCACATTGATTTTCATCACAAAGAAACTGTTCTACAATTGAAGGGTAATGTTTTAGTTGCAATGGTTTGGTTTAACAGCAAAACAAAGCCAAAAGGACAGTTAATTAATGGGTTCTTTTAATAATTAAGTCACTTCAAGTCAAGGATATATAATAATTGAGCTTAATGCATGCATTACCCTGGTCACCTTCCTAACTATTTCACCAGAATTGTGTACATGATAAGATGTAAGAACTCCTTAAAGAAAAGAATGCATGACTGAATACCCAAATGAAAAAGGAAAAGAATGATGACTCGATCAAATGTCATGTTCTAATGGGAAGTAAAATATCACAATTGAGTCCATTAAAAAGGGCTGTTCACTACAGTTAACAAGATACCACCTCCAACATGATACCAACTCCTTATCTGCTCTAGCTGTTATATTCATCTTCCCAAAGAATGTAAAATAAATTTTCTAGAATAATGCAACACGATCCTATGCAAACTATGCAGCACCGTCCCTATATTCTGGTAACAAAGTCTTGGTTTGCCAAATGGCCTGCATCTAACCTAGCTAGCTACCTAGCTTTAGCACTATATCATCAAAACCATGCCAAAAAAAAAAACATATTTCCATTTTCCAACGAACCAACTCCATTGGTTACTACTCCCTACCTGCATGTTCTATCTACGAACACTGCATCACTGTCACCGACTCAACAATGATAGAAACTAATGAGAGGGTATCCACTCCTATACTGATACACTCTCAAAACAAACAAGTCAAAACCATATTCTGTTTTTCTCACACTTATATAACCATATTCCTATTTAAGGACAAATTTCTACACAATTCTAAATTATGATGATTCTAACCAATCTATACATTATAACTAGTTAAGTACAATAATTTTCTCTAATCTAAAAAACCGAATTTTGTAATTCTTATATCTAAAACCCTGAATATATAATACACTATACTGAAGTGAACATATGATCATAATACCTTTAAAGATGAACATTTTCTCTCCAGGTATATACATTTTTGTTCAAATGTGAGAGAGACTATTCTTTTCTAGACTTTAGGCTTCGCCCTTCGTTACTCACATAGGTTTTCTCTCTCTCCAATAAATCAACCTACTAAGAATCATTCAAACTTTCATAATGATATAATAATAAGGATGATAAAAAATGAAAGGAATAGAATATATAAACTCCAGTTGGTCAACCTAACCTCTGCATCTGTCCACTGTCCATGTCCCCGCTGCTCCAGTTGGGTCAACTTCTTGAACCTTCGGACCCACCTTCACTTTTCCCATCCTTTTAAATACAAAAACCAAACCACCAACGTTAATGTCTCAGAACCAAAACCACACTCTCCATACCCATAATAACAACCACCATGGAAGAACCTACATTGTTGTTCCCAGACACAGACCTCGATCTCAGCTTCACCAGCACCACCACCGACCGTACCAGTGCCCGAACTAGCCTCGCTCGAACCAGCAGCCTCACCCTCAGCTTCAACGACCGTATCTCCACCGTCGAGCCAACCGTCTCCGTCGTCAATCGCCGCCCCCACCGGAGCTCCGACCCCCACTGGTCCGCCATTCAGGCCGCTACCATGCTCTCTTCCGACGGACGCCTCCACCTCCGCCATCTTAAACTCCTTCGCCACCTCGGCTCCGGCAACCTCGGCCGCGTCTTCCTCTGCCGCCTCCGCGACTACGACGGCGCCAACTTCGCCCTCAAAGTCGTCGACAAAGACCTCCTCACACCCAAAAAACTCTCCCACGCGGAAACCGAGGCCGAAATCCTCCACGCGCTAGATCACCCCTTCCTCCCCACGCTCTACGCACGCATAGACGTCTCCCACTACACGTGCCTCCTCATCGACTACTGCCCCGCCGGTGACCTCCACTCTCTCCTCCGCAAACAGCCCCACCACCGCCTCCCAATCTCCGCCGCGCGTTTCTTCGCCGCCGAGGTCCTCGTCGCCCTGGAGTACCTCCACGCGCTGGGAATCGTCTACCGCGACCTCAAACCCGAAAACGTTCTCTTACGCGAGGACGGCCACGTCATGCTCTCGGATTTCGATCTCTGCTTCAAATCCGACGTGGCACCAACTCTCACACTCCAGCCCCACAACAAACCCCAACGCGCGGGCCCAACAAACGGTTGTTGCAGTTATAACCGTCACCGCTCAAAGCAAAACCATGAAACGCTCCTGGCGGAGTTCGTTGCGGAACCCGTGACGGCGTTTTCACGGTCGTGCGTGGGGACGCACGAGTACCTGGCGCCCGAACTTGTGTCGGGTAACGGTCACGGTAACGGCGTTGACTGGTGGGCTTTCGGGGTTTTCGTGTACGAGTTGCTGTACGGGACGACGCCGTTTAGGGGGTGCAGCAAGGAGGGCACGCTGCGCAATATAGCGTCGTGCAAAGACGTGAGATTCGTCCACGTGGCTGAACGAGAGGAGCCTGGGATGGTTGAGGCTAGGGATTTGATTGAGAAGCTGTTGGTGAAGGATCCAAGGAGGAGGCTAGGGTGCGCCAAGGGTGCCACTGATGTTAAACGACACCCCTTCTTTGACGGCATTAAGTGGGCGTTGATTCGGACTTACCGGCCACCGGAAGTGAAGGGGTTGGAGAGAAGGAACAAGTCGCACGTGAGCGGTCACGTGAGTCGCAAACGTGAGAGGTGGTCCTGGAAGAGACTTGGGCATGTCCTTGGGAAATATAATTTGATTTCAAACTATAGTCTTCATAATAAAAATTATTATCACTATGTTGATGATAGTTATAAGGTTAATTAATTTGGATGAAGATATGTAGGATAGCGTGACCATAGTTTCCAATTTTGGGTGTGCAGTGAGTGAGTGTAGTTTTTCGTGACACAGGTTTTCTGTTCTACTTGTACATCAATTACAAACCATATATACATTCATTTTTCTTTCTCTGATTTGTAATATAATTTCAATATTTTATAAACTAATTATTATTATTATTATTTTATATCAATCAATAATCACTGAAAAATAAATAATTTATGTAGGTAGACCTTGGTTCAATGTGTTTATTTTGTACATAACTCAGATATTTGATCCTAAATTATTAGTATTTCTCAAGTTTTGGGCCTAAAAGAAAACCTAAGCCCAACAAGTATTCGGATTTTGCTAAAACTATTTTAGCACATTTACCTCCATATTTTTTTCCTCCCGCCTTATATTCATATAAAAAACTTTTCGAATTAATCTTTCCAATAAAATGCTAATGTTATATTTCAAATTTCATAAGACTTAAAAAAATTATATATCTATGAATTGTTTCATCAAATTTTTTTAAAGAATTGTCAATTCGAAATTCTCCAAAATCATTTTTCCATAAATTAACAAAGTGTTATTATTTTTTCAAATAAATATAAAAAAAACATAGAAAGAAATATAGGGTGTAAAGAGCGTGTGACAACTTTCTAGTCCATTAGAAAAGCCATATACCATGCAATCGAGGGCCTAAAAAAAGGTTCATGCAACGAAAATCAGAACTCTACAATTAAAGTTTGAGTCATTTTAGTGGTGAAACCACCATTAAAACATTAAATTCCTTTATCATCGAAAACCTTAATTTGTTCGAAATTTTAGTTTTAAAACGGAAACTAACGTCAAAAACCCATACTTTTCGAACATTACTGTTACTGGAAAATCGAGAAAAGTGATCGAAAAACGAAGGAAAGAAAAAAATCGAGAAACATGTGATTGATTGATAAATCGAAAAGATGGATGAAAAACCATTCGATGTCTAATTAGAAGTACGTGACACATAAAATCGAGAGTTAGAATCGAGAATCGAAGGAATAATAGTTAAAGGTCTATTTGTTGAATAAAACCAAGAAATTAGAAGTATATGACGTTAAGGTTAAGGGGAATCGAAAGCAAATTCAAAGTTCTCGAGATTTTAAAATCGAAATTGAGGGGAAGGCTAACCTGCGTAAATATCGAAATCTTGGCCAGATCATAAAGAGAAGAATAGTTAAACGCGCACATAAGAAGCAATTTCTAAATCGTGGTAGAGGTCGAAGATCATGGGAACGTGGGTGCAGTTTTGACACCACAGAAGAAGAAACTGCAACGTGCACGAAGAACGTGGTAGCAGTTTTCGTTAACTGCTCCTAAGAAGCTACTTGAAAGATGATCTATAAATAGAGCAAAAGATGAAAGGGGAAAGGGGGGAGGAAATTGGCAGAGAAGAACATAAACACTAGTGAGGAGTCTACCGGAGAACGATGAACATCATGAAGTTTCTGGCGATCTGGATTTCCATGTTCATTGATTACCTTTACCGTTTTCTTTATTTTCCCTAGTAATTTACTTTGATGCAGTTTATGTTTAACAACTTTAAGTTTCTGTATTTTCGATTCCTTGTCATTTCTCGTTAATGAAAGTTAAGTTTCTGCTTTTAAACTCCTTGTCATTTATATTAACGCAATTTTGATTTCCTGCTATTTACATTTCCGAGATTTCGATTACTTGTCATTTACCGTTTATGCAATTTCGATTTCCTGTTGTCTATTTTTTTTCTGCAAAGTTAGATTTTTATTTACAATCCTGCAATTGTCGATTCCTTGCCAGTTACATTTAATGCAAATTTGAGGTTTCTGCACTTTACATTTTCTGCAATTTAATATTTCTTCGCAGTTTTACATTCGGCACTGCTTTTCGATTAGTCACTTTACTGTTTTCCTTATTTCGAGTACTTCAAATACAAAATACCAAAAAATAGGGTTTTTCGATTATTAATCTTAGTAGTTTCTATACCGTGGTATTTTCGATTCTCATACGCATTTCGATTGAAATTCAGTTGCTAGCCTAAGTATAAAGAATCTATGTGGTTGAGTTTTGGTTAGAATCAAAAGCCTCTTAAGAATCGAAATTAATTAAAATTCCACCAGAAACAAATTGGCGCGCCAGGTAGGGGGCATTTGTGTCGAAAAATACAAAATTGGTTAGTTCGAAAGTGTATGAGATTAAGGAGTGGGCGAGTTATAAGAATGAGTCAAAACCCACCAAATAACCAGAGTAACAGTGAGGGTCTAAATGGTTCACATCCACTAAACACTGGGGGGCAAGGTCTTAATGGAAATATGCCTGTAACATCGACGACTGTGAGTATGTCGATACCTGTGGCTAATGAACAAAGTTCAGGCACATTAGCAAACACTCAAGTAGGATCTAGTACTGTGATGGGGAACCCCATAACAACATATGCATGGCCGTATATGAGCGTACGACCACCTGGTTTTTCACCTAATAATATGAATGGGGCTGGTACCTCTTCGATACAACGAAACTCGAGATTTAACCTAGGAATGCCTCAGAACTTAGGTACCTTTCAAACTCTAGGTATGCCGCAAAATTTTGGAGTCTCTCCAAATTTAGGGGCGTCTCAAAATTTAGTAAACCCCCAGAATTCAGGGAGTGGGCAGAATTTAGGTACACAACAGATACCTCCACATCTAGATCACAGAGCAAATCTGGATCATGGGAGAAACACATTTGATAGAGATTATCATTGATCCAATTTTGAGACTATTGAAAACACTAGTACTGGGATCTCCAGTAACTCATTAGGAGTATTTAGACAACAAATGGATGAGAACAATTTTGAGATGGTGAATATGTTATCACAACAGTTGACTACAGTCCTCAATCCATTAGTTCAAAACACTACTGCTAGTTTTGAAATATTAGCAGACCAAATGTCACGTATCGGGGATGCATTGGCTATACCTCGACAAACAAGAGTGGAAAATCATGCCAATCAGAACATTAACCAAAATGCTAATATCAATCCCCCGTATCTGTTGAGGAGAAATCGAAACAATGATCAACATCAGCATATGGGAAATGAATATCAACATGTGAGGAATGATATTTATGGGAATCTGAATGAGGGATTTCAAAATATGTACAATCAAAATAATATACAGTATAATCACATGTTAGGACAAAGGATGAATTCCCAAGGAATGGAGTTAAGACCACCCAATCAAACGTACTTTGTTTCTCCTTTTCCAAATGCTATTCTCGAGACAGAATTACCTCGAGGATACAAAGTACCTAAATTCACCAAATTTGCTGGAGAAATTGGTGAATCCACTATCGAGCATGTGGCTCGATATCAGATCGAATGTGGGGATTTAGCGATGAGTGAAGAATTAAAAATGAAATATTTCCCTAGTTCATTGACTAAAAATGCTTTCACTTGGTTTACTTCGTTGCCACCCAATTCGATATATAATTGGTTGCAACTGGAAAGAAATTTTCATGAACAATTCTTTAGAGGAGAGACTCAGGTAAGTCTCATCGATTTAATGAACATAAAGAGATACAATCATGAAAGCATAGATGATTATTTGAATAGATTTAGACAAATGAAGTCGAGATGTTTTACTCAAATTCCTGAATATGAATTAGTCAGAATGGCCTCTGCAGGTTTAGAATTCTCGATTAGGAAAAAGTTAGTTAATTTACCGTTGAACGACATGACTCAATTAGTTGATAAAGTGAGAAGAGTAGAACAAATTGAATATGAAAAATAAAGGTATAAGAAATTTGAGAAACCCATGAAAAAAGAAAGAGTAGCATATATAAATGATGTGTATGAGACAGATCCCGAGACAGAAATTGAGATTGAAGAAGCTGTCGATGAGAAAATAAATATAGCAGAGCTCAAAGTAGGAGCTCCATACATTTGTAAATTACTACAGAAAAATGAAGTAAAAGACAAGATGGCAAATCGAACGTATACTTTCGATGTAACAAAAGCTGATAAAATTTTCGATATTTTATTGAAAGATAAACAGATTAAGTTGAGTGATGACCATAAATTGCCATCTGCAGAACAAATGAATGGTCGAAAATACTGCAAATTCCATAATATTTATGGACATTGGACTAATAATTGTATACATTTCAGGAACACGATCCAAGATGCAATTGATCAAGGAAGAATGAAGTTTGGAGAAATGTCTATGAAAGTGGACACTAGTCCATTTGAAGCTCAAGTAGGCTTTATCGAATCCCACACGAGCATGACTCGAAGATGTCCGATTGACAAATTCGACCTTTGTAGGCATGGTTGATGTTACCGAAGACATTGACCCCAGGCATGTCGAATGGAAGTATCTGAAGAAGACATGGAATTCGACCTGAGTGAGTTCGAGAAAGAGACCTATCCTCAACCAGGAGATTCTCTCATCGAGTTTTTAAACAGAAAGAAGGAGAAGAATGAAGATGTGTCTCTTTGTCCACGATGCAGCACAATGTTCGACAAATCAGCCGCTAAAACCTTCAGAGCAGAACAGATGAAGAAAATCGAGAATCAAAATAAAAGGGATAATGACAAAGTAGATCAAGCAGCACAAGCAACGATTAGAGAAAAGCAACAGAAATCGATTGGCTCTGTTGCTAGTAGAAATCACAGACAGTGGGTTAGGAGAGAAATATATCCTTCTCGAGGAGAAAAGCCCCAAAGTAATGATGTCTTCGAAAGACTCTCATATGATGAAGGATCGAACACTGGATTCCCAACATTCCAAAGGAGATTCCGAGGAAGGCCCTAGAGAAGAGGAGGAAGGATCCCTTACTGGAATAATTACAGGAATTTTGAAGAGAATAATGTACCAATGGGGAACCAGTATGCAAGAAACTTTTTCGATGATAAAAATGAGGGTAGCTGGGATGAACATCAAATTAGAGTCATATCGATATTACCAGTAGAATACGTTAGTGAGTATCAAGAGTATCAAGAACAAAGT